GAGGCAGTATCACTACAGAAGTAGGATTGCCCAACCTTCCTTCTGAGGAGTGGCTGGTGGGTTTGAACCGCCAGCCTTCTGGTTAGCAGTCAAGTGCCTTGGGCACTATGCTACCGGAGCTCCCATATATACATATAGAGAAAGAGAAATTTATCTTAGGAAAATGACTCACACACTTAGAGAAGCCGGAAAGTCCCAAGTTCTTGGATCAAATGTCATGCTGGAGGCTTTTCCCAACTCACGCAGCTGCAGGGGCTGATGAGGTCAAGGTTGGCAGGCAGTATATCAGCTGTTGACTCCAACGAATGATGAATCCAAGATCTCCAGGCAGAATGGTGGATTGTTCACTCACGGACAGTTGTAGGCAGCACAACAGGATCCTGATCCACAGAAGAATATCTCTTTTCCCAGAATGTCCATAAATATATTGGCAGCAGGCCACACCCCTAGGGAAACTCCCTTTAAACAGATTGGTTGTTCAAAACATATACATCTGATCCCATCACGAGAATAACCCACATCACAACTGCTTAAACTACACAGAATTGTGATCCAGCCCAGTTGACACACAGCTCCAACTGTAACACCACAACATATCTCATTGGCATTCAGTGCATCAAATCTATTCTTGGGATGGTCTCCAAATTCAGGTGGAATATAATCAAGGTTGTATTTTGGCTCTCATGGCCTTGTTTTAATTTTCTTCAGCTTCAACTTAGACTTACATATGAGCAATTGATAGTCTGTTCCAAGTCAGCTCCTGACCTTGTCCTAACTAATGATATTGAACTTCTCCATTGCTTCTTTCCACAGATGTAATTGATTAAATTCCTGTATATTCCATCTGGCAAAGTCTATGTATGTAGTCTCTGTTTATGTTGTTGAAGACATGTATTTTCACTGAGTAAGTCATTGGTCTTGCAACATTGTATAAGGAGATCTCCAGTATCAATTCAATCATCAAGGCTGTTTTTTCTAACTACTGATTCTTTTTTGTTTGTTTCCAACTTTCACACTGAAATCACAAACTATCACCTCATCTTTTGCTTTAGTGGTTTGTGCGTAAATTTGAATAATAATTATATTAACTGGTCTTCCTCTTATGCTTATCCCATCACTAAAAGCATCGTACTTCAGGATAGATCTTGAAATGTTCTTTTTGATGAAGAATGTAATGCCATTCCTCTTCAATTTGTCATTCCCAGCATAGTAAACCATATGATTGTCCAATTTAAAATGTTCAATACCAGTCCATTTCAGCTCACTAATGTCTAAGCTATTGATCTTTATGCATTCCATTCTATATTTGACAACTTCCAATTTTTCTAGACTTATACTTTGTACATTCCATGTTCCAATTATTAATGGATGTTTGCAGCTGTTTCTTCTCATTTTGAATCATGCCACATCAATAAATGAAGGACCTGAAAGCTTTACTCCATCCACATCATTAAGGTTGATTCTACTTTGAGGAAGCAGTTCTTCCCCAGTTGTATTTTAAGTGCCTTCCAACCTGAGGGGCTCATCTTCCAGCACCATATCAGTGTTCCACTGATATTTGTAATGTTTCAGTTGTCAGTTTTTCCAGAAGTGTATCTGGCCACATTCTTCTTAGTCTGTTTTAGTCTGGAAGCTCCACTGAAATCTGTCTATCATGGGTGACCCTGTTGGTATTTGAAATACCAGTGGCATAGCCTCCAAGCTCATAGCAACACTCAAATTACCACAGTATGACAAACTGTCAGACAAGTGGGAGAGGTGTGTCTAGCCTGGTTCAATCAGTTGACGTGGTGGTGGAAAGGTCATCTAAGCAAATACAGCCACCTAACTCCAACTCTTAAGTACAGGCAGTAGGTTAAAACAGGTTGTCTTAGAAGGATATATAAGCAAGAAATACAACAACTGAGAATTCTGTTTTTAAAAATAGCTATTTATACCAAACTGTGGAGCTCTGAGGGCACAATACCTAAGGCATTTGACTGCTAACCAGAAGGTTGGTGGTTCAAACCCACCAGCTTGCTCTGTAGAAGGAAGATGGGTCAATCTAATTACATAAAAAGAGCTCTGGTAGTGTAGTGATTTACAGCCTCAGAAACCCAATGGGGCTTGCTATGAGTCAGAACTGACTCAATGGCAGTGAGTTTGGTTTGGTTTTGGTATTTTGGAGAAAATATAATAATAAACTAACATGAATGAATACAAGTAAGACAAAATGATTGAATTCTGACAATTTATTTGTGTTGTCATTGTTATTAAATTGCCAACATAATATCATCTAGGACTCAAGTTATTCCCTGAATACAGACGTTCATGGGTCTCTATATTTGTTGCACTACCAAATAATTTTATGTTGAATATAATTTGATCTTTTACCGTTTCATGCTTTTGCCTTCAGAGTCTGTAAAAGGAAGAAAAATGAAAAGCTATAACTATGTTAAAAAAACACATTGTAACTTATATTTTTCTTAGCTTTTCTTTGCTTCCCCCTCTTCTGTTTACTGGATTCAATCAGATTCAATGTTGAAGGAATGCAAGTGTGAGAGGGTTTCTATGGGGAAATAAAACCACAAGGCCATCATTAGACATTTCTAATAGCAAAACTAAATTTTTGCCTCTTTCCTGGACCTGAGTTTATTTCTACATAGTCAGTCACTCTTGGCTCCTTTGTTTCTCACTCTGAATGTTCTATTCAGCCATACTGTCAGCTCCCTTTCTTCTCTTGGCCAGGTTTCTCCTCTGTGCACCAATTCTTATTCCCCGTGGTTAGCTCCACTCCAAAGCCCATTATAACTGTACATTTTCAAACAGTGCAAAATGAGCAATGGACTGTTTTCATTTTATGGGACACTTAAATAAAAGTGTGGAAGCCTGGGTGAATACCCAGATTGGTCAGCCACAAAGAAATCTACATCAGCCTTGCTTTCATATACAATAATGACAACTCAGTAATATACTTGGAACATCTGGACTTGCAGATATATTTGTGTCTACTTTCTTATCTATCCATTCTGAGGGAAGGATCAGGTTCTTGCTGTCATTGCCATGGCTATAACAGTGGGAAGCTAGGTTTCAGAAGAGCAAGCAAGTAAGGGTGAGTCCCTGGGGATGTGCCTATGGAGAGGAGAGAGTTTGAAAAGAACTACATTCCAAGGGAATTTGGTCTTCTTCTACACAGTTCCGTTTGTAGAACACAAAAGATTACTGAACATTTTGTCTACCACATATTGTTTGTGGCTACTAGACTGTAAGCCTTTTCTGGGATGCTTTGAGGATTCAGATCTGGAAATTCCACTGAAGGAGGGACAGATGAAAAGAATAGAGCATTTATTATTTAAAGCACATTGATTTGTGCAGTTATTCTTATTTTGTTCTATCATTTTCCTTCCACTCCAAGTTTCTCTGAGTGCCTTGCTCTCATAGAAGTTGAGAGATGCTAGACTACTTTTATATGGTCTTAGTCTAGTGCCTAAGGCATTTGACTGCTAATCAGAAGGCTGGTGGTTCAAACTCACCAGCCATTCCTCAGAAAGAAGACGGGCAATCTACTTCCATAGAGATACTGTCTCGGAAAGCCAAGGGGTCACTATGAGTAGAATCCACTTGACGGTAATGAGGTTTTTTTTTTTTTTTTCAGTCTTCTAAGAGCCCACAACTGTAAGGGTAAGATATTTGTCTTGTTCAACCCTCTTGAGGGCAAGTGAAACAGGCAGATGTTAGCTCAGTGGCTCAGTGTAGTGATTTTCTACCAATCTCCCTGTGAAGTCTTGATATGCAGTCAAAATCACAGGGAAACTCCCCAATGCTTGCCAGCTCCCTTCTATATAGGCAATTTTAGGTAAAGGAGTGGTAAAAATGGAAACAGACTAGATTTGGCATTTTTTGAATATACAATTTGTAAAGGCAAAGTCAGAAAATATATAGGCCTCTACATAATTATTTGTAAGTATTCACATTATATGTGATCAAAGATAAGAAGCTATTTCCCAAAGTTTCCCTCTTAAAGAAAATTCTAACGTGGCTTTCTCAGTCTCCTCCTTCTTAGGAGGACCCTGAATCGCCATGTTGGTTAGTTTGGGCTTTGTAATGAAGAACTGAAAACAGAAGGGCGGGAAGGATGAGACACAGGGGGCAGAGCTGCAGTTAGAGGATTTGGGAAAAATTTGAGATAAGTATGATTAAGGAAGCAATTGCAGTATTAAATTAAAAAATAAAAACTGTTGGCATTATTTAGCTCCTCTTCAGAGTATTTACAAACTAAAAGGACAGAATATGAGTTATTTTACAATTAAGCTGGTTACTGAACTATGTTCTTCTGACCACAACATCATTTTAAGTATGGACAGTGTGAGTTGTGACAATTAGCACTACAGAAATTGTTTATAAATCAACCAACTTACTAGCTGATAAAGCTACATCTTTCTCTTCATCTTGGATTCTATCAGAGTGTAAGCCATGTTTATGTTCTGAAACCAAAAATAAAACATGTTTGTTTAGGATAAAATTAACAACCTTTGAGATATTCTAAGTCAGTGCTTTTCAAACTTTTTTGACCATGACCCACAGCACAAAATGCATTTTCCACTGCAGCCTGGCATATAGGCGCAAGTATAAATGAAACCAAAAGATTACAGGATAAAATACTTACCCTTTTCTGATCTATTCTTACTTTCCCTTTTCTTTTCTATTCCTCTTTTTCTTATCTCTTCTAGTTCATCATGTGTGTGTGTGTGTGGGGGGAGTGTTGGTCTTACACTTTTCTTCTCTTTCCTACTTTATCTTTTCATATCAATTTCATTCCAATTCATTGGGGAAAAATGCTGGTCACAACTCATTAAGTTGATTTTGTGACTCACTATTTTTTTTATGACCTACATAAAGATTATTACCCATAATATGGAAAACACTATAATAACTTATATTTGAATCTCCTGCTCACTTGAAAAATGACCTGCAAAACAACCTGAAGTCAATCCTATTTTCTCACTTTGTTGTCACTAAAGTTCTTTAGTCTATATAAGCTTATGACTTCTTAGGCAGTCTAGGAGTCTAAGTCTTAGTTAATAACTTAAATTGTTCTGATGCAAGTAGTCTTGGGAATACATGAGAAACACTACTCTGCAATTTAGCTTCTACTCCTCTGTTTGACTCAACAGCACATAACAACAACAACAACAACAACCTCTGTTCCAGAAAGCTACAAATCACCGTCTTCATGACAAACCTTATAGTTTCTTCTCAGTTATTTCACAAGGGCCTTAGTGCCCTCAAGGACCTCGGTGGTGCAGTACCTAAGGCATTTGATTGTTAACCAGAAGGTTGGCAATTGAAACCCACCAGTTGCTCTATGGAAGGAAGACGGGGCAATCTACTTCTGTAAAGATTTACTGCCTTGGAAACTCAGTGGGGGTCACTATGCATCAGCATTGACCCAATGGCAGTGAGTTTGGGGTTTTGGTTTAGTGCCCTAAGTCCTTGAGTATTGCTTTACAGTAGCTGTATCAGCTAGAATAACAGTGCTGCCACTCAGGTTCTTGGAGGCACTGTCTATCTGACCGGACCTCTTTAGGGCACCAATTCTGAGTGGCACCAAATTCTCCATGTTCTTCTGGACAGTGATTTGGGCTCTAAAGGGTCAATGATATGGAATGGTCAGTAAGGCTTACCTCATTTTATTATGCCTCACTCTACTGTACTTTGCACATACTGCAATTTTTTACAAATTGAAAGTTTGTGGCAACCCTGTGTTGAGCAATCTTCTGGTGTGATTTTTCCAACAGTTTTTGCATAGTTCATGTCTCTACGTCACATTTTGGCAGTTCTCACAATACTTCAAACTTTTCCATAATGCCATTGCATTGCACATTTAATAGACTACAGTATAGTGTAAACATAACTCTTCTATGCACTGGGAAACCAAAAGGTTGTGTGACTCACTTTATCATTACATTCACTTAATTGTGGTGGTCTGGAACCGAACCCACAGTATCTCCAAGGTATGCTTATCATAAAAAGACTGATTCCATTAATTCGTGCTTTGCCCCTCCACTCAACAGCCATTTGCTAAGGTTTTAACCAGCCATTTAGCCAACTGCTATCTGGCCCCTACCTACTTTCCCCAGGTTTACTCATTCTTTTTGGATACCCTGCTCTAGTCCAGCAACTCTACTTAATGTCTTCTGGATACAATGTTATACTTACCCAGGTTTGTGCTTCTGGTCAAGACTCAATCATGTAATATGCCTTCTTTGCCCATGTTGTTCTTTCTGGTGGGATACCTTTCATTCCCAACTTCTTACCTACCCTCTACCTGCACACCACTTTTTGTTAAACTACTTCATACTCTTTCTTCTAGAGTCAGCTCCCATGTGTCCTCTCCCCTGGAAGGCCTTTCCTGGCCTCCCATTCTATGTCAGTAGATCTCCTATGTGGTCCCATTGTACCCTGGGTCTCTCGGTCTCTCTCTAACATAGCTCTTACCTCATATTAGGTTTTTTTTTTTTTTTTAATTGCTTTATTTCTCACACTAGGTGGTGAGCACTTTGAGGGCAGAACCATGTTCTATTTATCTTTATGTCCCTAGCATCTACCACAGTTTCTGAATATATAATTCCCCATTTGCTTATCTTCAGTCATATTAAGTCCCCACTAGATTTCAAGCTGTGATTCAATTTTCTCCTTCAAAGAGCCTTCAAGGATCTTCGTTTTTTGTGAGTTTCTAGATTACTTATTGTACACTATCCTTCCTTTTGACTTGTCTTGCCCAATTCATTGAAGGAGCCCTGGTGATACAGTGGGTAAACGCTTGGCTGCCAACTGAAAGGTTGACAGTTTGCACCCACCAGCTGCTCCACAAGAGACAGATGTGGCATGACAGTCCACTCCTGTAAAGATCACAGCCTTGGGAACCCTATGGGGCAGTTCTACTCTGTTCTATAGGGCTGCTATGAGTCAGAATAGACTCTACAGCAAAAGGTTACAGGTCTTGTTTATTGAGCTTTTAAATTCATTATCTTGTTATTTGCCTTTTCAAATACTCATGGCTCCTTTCCCCAGACATGGTTATGTGATCATGTTGTTGTTGTTAGGAGCCGTCGAGTCGTCTCCAACTCATAGCGACCCTACGGACAGCAGAACGAAACACCGCCCAGTCGTCAGCCAGCTCCGTGATTCTTGCTACACTTGAGCCCACTGATGCTGCCACTGTGTCAGTCCGTCTCATTGAGGGCCTTTTCCTCTTTCGTCAACCCTCCACCTTACCAAGCATAACATCCTTCCCCAGGGTATGGTCCCTTCTGACACCATGACCAAAGTAGGTGAGACGAGGTCTGGCCTTTCTCTCGTCCAAGGAGCATTCTGGCTGCACTTCCTCCAGGACAGACCTGTTAGTCAGGTGCACCTTAGTCCTCAAGGAGACATCTTTGCTCTTCAGCACTTGAAAGAGGTCCTTTGCCACCGATTTGCCCAGTGCTATATATCGGAACCCCAAGGAGTGGTCGCTATGAGTCGGGTCTGACTCCAGGGCACATAACAACAACAACATATGTTGTCTGATGTCCTAACTGCTGCTTCCATTGGTGTTGATTGTAGAACCAAGCAATGTGAAGTCTTTGACAATTTCAATCTTTTCTCCATTTATTGTGATGCTGCTTATAGGTCCAGTTGTGAGGATTTTTGTTTTCTTTATATTGAGATGTAATCCATACTGCAGACTGTATTCTTCAATCTTCATCAGTAAGTACTTCAAGTCATCCTCACTTTCAGCAGCAAAGCTGTGTCATCAGTGTATCTCAGGTTGCTAATGATTCTTGCTTTAATCCTGATGCCACATTCTTCTTCATATAGTCCAGCCTCTCGGATTATTTGCTCAGCATACAGATTGAATAAATATAGTGAAAGGATATAACCCTGACACACTCCCTTCTTGATTTTAAACCACGCAGTGTTCCCTTTTTCAGTTTGAATGACAGCCTCCTGGTCTATGTATAGGTTCCTTATGAGTACAATTAAGTGTTCGGGAATTCCCATTCTTCTCAATGTTATCCACAATTTGTTATGATCCACATAATCAAATGTTTTTTTCATAGTCAATAAAACACAAGTAAACATCTTTCTGGTATTCTTTGCTTTGAGCCAAGATCCATCTGACATCAGCAATGATATCCCTTGTTCCACATCCTCTTCTGAAACCAGCTTGTATTTCTGGAAGTTCTCTGTCAATATACTGCTGCAATAATATTTGAATTATCCTCAGTAAGATTTTATTTTCATGTGATATTAATGATATTGTTTGATGATTTCCACATTCTGTGGGATCACTTTTCTTTGGAATGGGTACAAATATAGATATCTCCCAGTCAGTTGGCCAGGTAGCTGTCTTCCAAATCTCTTGGCATAACTGAGTGAGTGCCTCCAGCAGGGCATCTACTTGTTGAAACATCTCAAGGGGTATTCTGGCAATTCCTGGAGCCTTGTTCTTCTCCAATTCTTTCAGTGCGACTTTGACTTCTTCCTTCAATACTATTGGTTCTTGAACATATTCCACCTGCTGAAATGGATGTAGATTGACCAGTTCTTTTTGGTGCAGTGACTCTGTGTATTCCTTCCATCTTCTTTTGATGCTTCCTGCATCATTCAATATTTTGCCCATAGAATGTTTCAATATTGCAACACGAGGCTTAAATTTTTTCCTCAGTTTTTTCAGCTTGAGAAATGCTGAGCATATTCTTCCCTTTTGGTTTTCTAACTCCAGGTTTCTGCATATTTCATAATAGTAATTGGCTTTGTCTGCTCAAGCTGCTCTTTGAAATCCTCTGCTCAGTTCTTTCATCTTGTTGTTTCTTCCATTTGTTTTAGCTATTCTTGCTCTAGGGCAAGTTTCAGAGTCTCTTCTGACACCCACTTTGGTCTTTTCTTTCTTTCTCATCTTTTTAATGACCTCTTGCTTTCTCATCTTTTTAAAGACCTCTTGCTCTTGATGTCATCCCACAATTCTTCCAGTTTTCGGTCATTATTCAATGCATCAAATCTATTCTTTAGATGGTCTCTAAATTCAGGAGGGATTTATTCAAGGTCATATTTTGGCTCTTGTGGAGTTGTTTTAATTGTGTTCAACTTCAAGTTGAACTTGCGTATGAGCAGTTGATGGTCTGTTCCACAATCAGCTCCTGGCCTGGTTTTGGCTGAAGATACTGAGCTTTTCCATCTCCTCTTGCCACAGATGTAGTCAATCTGATTCCTGTGTACTCCATCTGGCAAAGTCCATGTGTACAGGTGCTGTTTGTGTTGTTGAAAAAAGGTATTTGCAATGAATAAATCGTTGCTCTTGCCAAATTCTATCATGTGATCTCCAGCGTTATTTCTGTCACCGAGGCCAAATTTTCCAACAACTGGTGATTCTTCATTTCCAACTTTTGCATTCCAATTACCAGTGATAAGCAACATATCTTGAGTGCATGTTTGTTCAATTTCAGATTGCAGAAGCTGATAAAAATCTTCAATTTCCTCATCTTTGGCTTTGGTGGTTGGTGTATAAATTTGAATAATAGTAGTATTAATGGGTCTTACTTGTAGATGTATGGATATTATCCTATTACTGACAGCATTGTACTTCAGGACAGATCTTGAAACATCCTTTGTGATGATGAATGCCATGCCATTCCTCTTCAATTTGTCATTCCTAGCATAGTAGATCATATGGTTGTCTGATTCAAAATGCCCAAAACTGATCCATTTTTCAGCTCACTAATGGCTAGGATATCAATCTTTATGTGTTCTGTTTCATTTTTGACAACTTCCAATTTTCCTAGATTCATACTTTGTACATTCCATATTCCCATTACTAATGGATGCTTGTAGCTGTTTCTCCTCAATTTGGGCATGCCATGTCAGCCTATGGAGGTCCTGAAAGACTTACTTTATCCATATCATTAAGGTTGGTTCTACTCTGATGAGGCAGCTCTTTCCCAGTCCTATATTGAGTGCTTTCTGATCCAAGGGGTTCGTCTTCCTGCACTGGGTCGGACAATGTTTCCAAGCTATTCATAAAGTTGTCCAGTATTGTATTAGACAGTGTTTCTCTGCTATTCATAAGGTTTTCCCTGGCCAATTTTTGAGAAGTGGATGGCCTCGTCCTTCTTCCTAGTCTGTCTTAGTCTGTAAGGTGCATTGCAACCTGTGCACCATGTGCAACTCTGCTGGCATCTGAAACACCAGTGGCACAGCCCAAAGCCTCACAGCAATGTACAAGCATCATAGGATGACAAACTGACAGACAAATTTGTCTCCCTTAGCTGCTGGAAACCTCTGCACCCTCCCCTTACCCAATTCCTCCTTGGAACCTGCCACTCTGTGGTCCCTGGCCATTCCCCCCCTTTCCTGGCTCTAGGGGGCTTGGGGCCTAGCCTTGCCCCCCCCCCTTTTACCGGAATATCCTGCTGCTCCTGAGGTCTCCAAGGCTACTCCTGCTCCCTCCCTTTCCTGGTTATTTGACCATAACTCCCTCATTTTGTTCCCTAGAGTCTCTCACAGTGGCTAGGACATAGAAGATGCTCCATGAGTCTCTGCTAATTTCCTCCAAAGATTTAAGTAGATTTAAAATATGATCTTATTTTTGAATACAGGAGCAAGGTGATGGATTTAATTCCCATTTTATGGCTAATATGAATCAAATCTCTGACATTTTGTGTTAATACTTGGATTAAAAAGATTTTTTCCCCCAATTGAGTGTACCAACCTTCTGCGGGCCTTTCATCTTTATGGCTGTCATCTTTGATGGGTAAGACCTTTTCATGATTTTTGGCTAAGTCATTTCCTAAAAATCAGTGAATTAAATATTAAATTAATTGAAAAGGTGAAACAAACCTCATACATGGGTCATCTCATTGATTATGTTAATATGTAGAAATTTCTGAACTATGAGAGGTCAAGTTACTTTCAGTACTTTGATTCTAGAATCCATGGAATAATGTTTTGAGCAAGGCCCAAAGTTGCCTTTGTATATGTTGCTCTCTGAATGGAACAGCCGTCCCATTCACTTACACTTTGGGTAAGGTCTTCCTTCATGACTCACTTTGGAGAGCACCTCCTCCCAGAAGACTGTCCATCTTCTAAAGACCTGATGGGGCTCTTTGATTTGTTCTCTGGCACCTGGCACATCACACTGGCCCACAGCACTAAGCACACTGGCTCCGTGCAAGACTGTGGCTTTCAAGGCCAGGGCTCACCCTCCTATATTGGTCTCTTCTCTCCCCACTCCTGCTTTATTTCTGCCTTCCCCATCCCACAAATGACTTCACCAAAGACACAAATAAGCTCTAAATCACAGATACAATGGTAACTTTCCGAACTTCAATTTACTTAATCTTCCAGCAGCCTCTGTTCCAGTAGACCAGCCCTTATTCTTGGAACATTCTCTGCCTTCAGATCTTCTGTGACATCAGAGTTTGGATGTTCATCCTCTCTTCTTCTCTTTGATCACCCCCGCTCACAGTCATATCAGCTCTTCCTGCTCTATCAAATGATTTAATGCTAATTCTTTCAGTCTCTCTTTTCTTGCACTCTCTTTAGATGAACTCTATAATGCTCAAGACTTCATTTCTATTTATGAGGCAACAACTCCCAATCTGATAACCGCAATCCAGATCTTTCTGAGCTCCACAAAGTATTCAATGTTCTACCTGAAATTTCTGTTGTCTAGATAGCCTGCATGTATCTCAAAATCAAAATGTAAAAACCTGAACTCACAAATTCTTTTTTGCTGGCACCATGTCTTTTCCTCCACCATCCAACACACACACATACACATATACACATTCACTCACGTTACGTTCTCATCTCTCTCAAATAATGTTATTTTTCACATTTTCCCCCATCAGGAAATCTAGCCAGGTGCTCAACCAGAAGAAGCCTATGATCTCTGTGGTAATTTCAACTCCTATCTATCTCTCAAATTTCCATCACATCTAGCCTCAGGTGTAATCATCTCTTCCCTGCGTCCCTGCACTAGCCTCCTAATACCATTCTTTTTGTAGAGATCCTTGCCTTCTTCCAATTGTTCTCTAAACTAAAATCAAACTTGATCAGGTGCCTCTCCACTCAAGCAAATATGGCACACGAAAAAAAGTTCTTAAGAGTTTTAAAGATGTGATTTCTTCAGGATTCTTCTGAGATGGATTGTCTCAAAGGACAACTATAACTTAGTTTACTTTGTCAACAAATTAGTTTAAACATGGTCAAATATAGATTAGTGTTATCTATATTAAATAGTAATGGAGTTGTAACAAATATTTTAATACTTGTTTAATAGACACCCAATTAAAATATCACATCTAAGGTATTACCTGATTGGTATGGTTCAAAATAGATAACATCTCCAAATGCCACAAGTTTTTCCTGTTGAAAAATTTTAAAATCAGAGAATTAAATGACCACAGTTACTAATTTAGTCATTTTTAATAGAAAAACACTTTGATTCTTGATTTTTTAATAACCAATAGTTATTTTTATCCTACCAGGAATTAAATAACCAGATGAGTAGCATTCTTCTGCTGATTTATTCAAACTTTTATTGATTCCTTGTTATGTTTAGGAATAAGTTCCAAGATTAAACTCACGGAAGACCAATGCATGCATTGGCCTCAGAGAATCAGTTTCAAGCCATTATCAAAGTCATTTTCCTTCTATCTATTCTGACATTACCTGAATTATATCACTTGTCATTCTGGTCATTATTGGTTCACTTATTTCAATACCTTCAAGATCTGTAAGAACTACCCAACTTCCATTCTCAAATTTTACAGGCATAGAAAAGACAAGCCCTTCAGGAATACCAAACTGGCCTGCAGTGAGCAAACAAACACAAAGTTAAGCAAAACAAAAGAACTTAGAAAAATAAAACCATCCTACTAAGGAAGGTAGATACAGTCAGACACAATACATGTTTGTTTCAATTGATAATAATGATCAAACTAAATTCCTGGGAATTCCTCACCAGAGAGGACTGAAACACTCACTCTAGAAGGACTGGCAGAATGTCTATTGAGAATAAAGCTCTGTGAGTTGGTTCCTCACTAGCTATCTCTGTCAGAGTTACCTCTGTTCCCCAAATGCTCAACTCAGAAAACTTGGATCTGGGTTACCTCTCTTCTCTGTCTCCCATCCCTAATTTCTCACTCATTTTAACAATTCTGTCTCCTGAAATTCTCGCACAACTGCCTCCTCGTCTGATTCAGATTTTCAGCATTTGCCCTAGGGACTAATGAGTCTTTCTCTTCCCCACCTCGCCTGGATTCCTTTTGTTGGTCCCTTGGTCCTTTATGTAGCCCCATGGATGCAAGTCGTTTGCCCACTCTGGCCTTGTACTATCCTAGCCTAAAGTGGTAGTCACATATGGAGAGAGCAGGAAGGCAAGGGACAGCAAGGGGGCAGGAAAGCTGGTTATTTCTTTGCAACTCTTACTCCCCCACTTGGATGTGCTCCAAAAGACCAATAACATTTGTTACTAACTGACGAGCATTCAGATAATATTTCTCCCTTTTTGTATACCTATCAAATAATAAAATCATTCCTGTCTTTTTGATCATCTCAAATGTTGTCATTAGGGCCAAAAGAAAAAAAAAAATACATACGATATTCATGAAAACAACATCTAAACGACTTCTCCTTAGAGGTGTTCCAGGTCTTCTGTTCAGTCTCTATTAGTTTTCTCTGTGAAGAGCTAGCCTTATAGGCAGACAATGTAAGAGTGTTTACTTACAGGTATGGTTTCAGGGAGGAAGAAAATGATCACTTGCCCCACCTTCCAAACATTGCATTGTTTATTGATGAATGGTAGTCCTACAGAGATGAATTAGTTTTTCTTTCTATCAAAAAGGTAAAGTTTGTAATTCCTATTTCCCCAAAATGGTAACATAAAGATTTGAATTCCACTATGGGGATGTTCATGTACCTTAACTTCAATTGAACAAGATGTGGTGAGCACCTTTCATGCACAATGCTGCTTCAGTGAAAGATCAGAGAAATGAGCCAAATGAGGTCCCTGTCCTCAGCGTGGACACACTCTAGTGGAGGGGACATATGCAACTGTCAATGAAAGGCAGACTATAATATGTTGATAGAGGAACAAAAAGCTGTGTGAATAAATAGAGAGCTGAGACAGAGATTAATTCTGACTTGGAGGATTTGGGAGGATTTCCTTGATTTTCACTGTGGAATAAGTGGCAGGATGGTTGTTCTATTAAAAACATAAGGAATATGGGCCATAGACTGAGACTGGGAGTCTGAAGTGACGCACGGCATCCGGGTGGTAATGCTTCCCAGACCAGAGCCCGGCAGAGAGGCCTGGGCCTGTGGCTTTGCAAGTGAACAAGCTTCCTCAGGCAGCATGAGCAAGCACAAAGGGTAGAGACTGCTTAGACAGGGCCTGCTGAGGGCAGAGCAGCTATTTCCTCTGTCCTGTTTTTAAGACATCAATAGAAGTTCTCTGAATCATTTTCTGCAGACTAGAACCTTCAGGCTGTACAATTTAGATACAGTATTTGTCAACAGAGCGCAAACATTTTGCGTGCCCACTGCTGCCTGGCATCCTAAGATTCAGGTCCTGAAGTTTCCCTTCCTAGCATGTCCTTATATTTTTGCTCCTGGGTCTCCCTGTGCCTAGATGTTCTTCTCAAACTTGTCTGCCCAGAAAGCAGTACTCATATTTCAAGGCTTCTTGGAGTATTGTCTCCTTTCCGAAGCCTGTCCTAACTTCCTGTTCCTGGCCTAGAATTGACTGGCTTTCCCTTTCTTAAGGAGCTCTGGTGGTGCAGGGCCTAAGGCATTTGAGTGTTAACCAGAAGGTTGGTGGTTCAAACCCACTAGCAGCTCCACAGAAGGAAGATGGAACCATGCACATCTGTAAAGATTTACTAGGAATTGACTCAATGGCAGTAAGGGTTTTTTTTTGTTTTGTCTTGTTTTGGTTTTGGTTTTCCCTTTCTCAGTTGGGATGCTGGAAGGAAAACTTAATAGGACCATTTCGTTTAGGTATCTGGCTCTGCTTACGTCACTGAAGGCAGAGACCAGACCTAATTCCTATGTGTGTTCCCAGTGCTGTTCCACAAAATATCTGATGACTTTCATAATGAATAACTGAGTGAATGAATGACTGATTATGGAGTTGTCAAAGTCCAGATAGCTTATACATGTTCAGAGCTAGACAGATGGTGACATAAAAGGAGGAATATAAGGTTCACAAGGAGGTTTTTACATATTATAAGATATGAAGAACACTAATTTACCTTTACTCAGTACTCCTAAAGACACAATCTCCCCAGGTGGTGAGCCATGGTACCAGTATTTCAATGTAGTAGCTATACTGTGTGCAGCTAAAATACCTCCAAATTGTTTTCCTGTGGCTGATAAATTTTCAAGCGTTGCCACAAATTCCTTGTTTACCCACTCACTGTAGGAGACAAAGAACCAATTTTATGATGCAGACAGGAATGAAAAAGGAAAAAGGATGTTTCTCGGGTCAATGAAGCTGAGTACAAGGAATCAAATGCACAATCAGGAGAGAAACACGACTCCTTGTCCCTTTTCTCTCAGCTTCTTCAGTCCCATGAACAAGTGGCTCGGTAAATAATAAAATGCAGCAGAAATAGTCTCAACATTTCAAACTAGAAACATGGTAACATAAATGTGGAACACAGGAAAGTGTTAAGGGCTGAAGGGACAATTCTTTTCATGACAAAGAATTTAGTCCATGTATATTTTCTTGGGGGCTGGGGAGTCCCAGGCTGGTGCAAATGGTAAAGTGCTGCTACCCGAAAGGTTGGCAGTTTAAAGACACCCATAGGTGCCTCAGAAGACAAGCCTGGAGACCTACTTCTGAAAGGTCTCAGCCTTTGGAGCAGCTCTCCTCTGCACACGTGGGATGGCCACGAGTCACAATTCACTTGATGGCAACCAACAACAATAGCATGGTAACTTGGAACCAGAAGGGTCCTTCATGTTCAACAAAGTTCATAAAATATTGAATTATTCACATTGAACATTAGAGAAATAATTATGTTCTTATAATCTCAAATCTAAACTAAGGGAAGAGTACAGCTGGATTAAAGCAAACATTAAACATCTGTTGACTCAGTGTGAGAAAGCGCCATTCACCATTCTACCCAGGCAGCAAATGCCAAGGGACAAGCCCCAGGAGTGGGAACTTGGGCACAGAAGTTCTGGTATGAATGAAATTCCTACGATCCGAGGATGGGTAAACACCCAAAAGTGACGGAATGGAAATCTATAACTGGGAAAGGACTGCAAAGTTTAGAAATACGCTGAAAGGCACTCCTCTTTTCTCCTCCTCTGATGCTCTAAGTGCTTTACAGTATTACTGTTTAACCTTCCCAGCCACTATAAGGCCCATACTGTGTTACCATTTTCACTTTGCAGATGAATAAACTGAGGCACAGAGAGGTTAAGTAACTTTTCTAAAGCCATATGGCTAGTGAGTGGCTAAGTGAGAATTCAAACCCAGGTGGTTTGCTCCTAGAGACTGTACCCTGCACTACTTGATTTTACCTATCCTGAGACATAACACTCAGTGGGACCTGGCCTGCTCACCAGCTTAGTTCCTTGTTCTCAAACATTTTTCAACTAATTTCTACTTGGACACACATTTTTATCTTCATGTTAAGTAAGATCCCCGTTATATATGTCCACTTTAGAGATATTTTAATGTATTATGTGAGCTACTTTAAGAATCATCTGAAATATGAAAGTCCACAATTTCAAAATGAAATAAATTGAGGGTGGAGATTGACTAGTTAAAATTTTCTGGATTTTTGTGTTTCTCTGATAAATAGCACAAGCAAAAATGAGTATGAATAATGCAAGTTATTTTTGTGCTCAAAAACCAAAACCAAACTCACTGCCTTTGAGTTGGATCCGACTCATAGCAACCCTTCCTTGGGTTTCTGAGGCAGTATTACTACAGAAGTTGATTGCCCAACCTTCCTTCTGAGGAGAGGCTGGTGGGTTTGAACCGCCAGCCTTTTGGTTAGCAGTCAAATGTCTTAGGCACTATGCCACAGAGCTAAGAGTTATAAAATTACTTTAAAGGTTATAACTACTATTATAGATGTACTTAACATTGTTAGTGTACTTCACTTAAAAATATACTGTACCTATCAAAAATCAATTTTAAAACAGGACGTGAATAGTGAGGAGGTCCCCAAATAGCACTCTCATATCTGTAGACCTTGGTCTTCCTCAGATCAACATAGTTATTTCCACTAATGTTGCCCCAAATTATCACATCTTTGATTTCTATAAAGAAAAAGAATAAAAAATAGACATGATTTGAACATTAATATAAAAAATTGCCTGAAACCTTTGTTTATTTGTTTGAGGATTGATTCTTTTGCTATAAAATGAGTCTAAGTTATGTTCTCTAAAACTGTGCAAGTGGAATCAATCAGCTTCCAGTCATCAGGGTTTGACAATCTCTAATAAGGTTCCATGAATGGCTATGAGTACATGATCAAGTTAAAAGAGTAATGGAATGTTCCCTGAAATAAATGCTACTGAAGATTATATCACTGGTGTTGGTCTTAATCTTATGACACTGCCAGAGTAAGACATGTGCTTTTTATCTGCTTTGGCCTGTCAAGGATTCTAAACAGGGATAGAAACCTGGGCAACTTAACTGTCTCGGTGGGTTTCATCTCCTGAAAAATGAAGGTATTGTAATAAGAGGACCCTATGGAACACCATGAAGCTTTGGTGCCACAGTGGTTAAAGCACTGGGCTGCCATACCACAGGAGAAAGATGAGGCAGTCTGCTTCCATAATGATTTGCAGCCTAGGGAACTCTATGGGCAGTTCTATTCTGTCCTATACAGTTGCTATGACTTGGAATTGACTTGATGCCAGCGGGTTTTGTTTGGATTCTTTTAAAGGAACACCCTAGTGAACAAACAGTTATTGAATATCTTCTAGGTGTGAGGCACTTCTAGGTGCTAGGCTTAGACTCAATATCAGATTAGCTAATAAGCGAGGTAAGCACAGGTTTTCTTGTGCTTACTTGCTAATCTGTAGAGAATAATGTCACATTTTTCTATCACATCAGAGATTCTGCTTCCAGATATGGCTGGTGTTTCTTTCTTCCAACCCTATAATATTTTCCTAAAGAATCAAAGTCTCTTTTTAAATTTACAATCCCTACCAGTTACAGGGGAGCTCTGGTAGCATAGTGCCTAAAGCACTTGACTGTTAACCAGAATGCTGGCGGTTCAAACCGACCAGCCACTCCTTGGAAGGAAGATGGGGCAATCTACTTCCGCAGTGATACTGCCTCGGAAACCCAAGGAGGTGTCGCTATGAGTTGGGTCCAACTCGACAGCACATAACAACAACAACACAACAATCAGTTACAGTAGGATAGGCTTACACGTGCTTACTTACTAAACTTTAGTGAAGAGTTTCATGTGTTTTTCTCATGAACTCATGTGAAATTGTTCACTACAGATTAATCAACCAGTGCTGACCTTGCTCATTGGGTAATGCACCCCTACATAGACTAAAACAAATTACCATAAATCTTGCAACATTTTAGGGATAGAGAGGAGTGGGTGAGGAAATAATTACTATACAAAGGAATACATGCTATGAAGAAAAATGAGAAGATGAGAATAAAATACAGATGTCTATTTAATATAACTCCTTAATTAATAAATTTCTATAATTGTTGAATCCAAAGTGCGAATAAGTAATTTGTCTATCTATCCATTCATTCATTCATTTATTCACATATCTGCTTAAAAACGTCATTGTCTTTTAAGGTCACACATCCTATTGTAGAGATGAAATTCTTTAGTCTAATTAAATTATTTATACCAATTTGGCTTAACAAGAATTTACTTTTCTCATATATCAACTCTGGAGTTATATATAGTAACATTGGTCCTGATTGAGTAGCTCAAAGATATGGTTCTCTTGGCATTGCCTTAATGCTTCTAAAATGGCTGTGGCAGCTCTGATTATCACACACTCACACAATTGTGTTCTGAGGCAGGCAGCAGGTTGAAGAATGGGGCAAAGCCTTCCTCCTTTGTCTCTTCTCTTTTTAGGAAGTGAAATATCTTTCTCAGGAGATTCAAAGTGGCCTACCTCTCTCAGCCACCCCTAGCTGCAGGAACAGCTATAAAACCAAATGACCTTTTGAGCCTCTATGGTGGAAGACTTCACTGAAGATAATTAAAACATGGTTGGAGCAGTACCTTAACAGGGAACTGCCAGAAATTCAAGCAGGATTCAGAAGAGGACATGGAATAAGGGATATCATGCTCATGTCAGATGGATCTTGGCTAAAAGCAGAGAATACCAGAAAGATGTTTACTTGTGTTTACTGACTATGCAAAAGGATTTGACTTTGAGGATCATAACAAATTATGGACAACATTAACAAAAATGGGCATTCCAGAACTTTTAATTGTTCTCATGCAGAAATTGTGCATAGACCAAGAGGTAGTTATTTGAACAGAACAAGGAATACAGCATGGTTTAAAATCAGGAAAGATCTGTGTCAGGGTTGTATTCTTTCATCATTATTCAATCTGCATGCTGAGCAAATAATTTGAGAAGCTGGACTATAGGAAGAAGGACACAGCATCAGAATTGGAGGAAGACTCATTAACAACCTGTGATATGCGGTTGATTCAAACTTGCTTGCTGAAATGAAAAGGACTTGAAGCACTTCCTGGTGAAGATCAAAGGCTGTAGCCTTCAGTATGGGTTACCCCTCAACATAAATAAAACAAAAATCCTCACAACTGGACCAATAAGCAATAAATGGACAAAAGATTGAAATTGTCAAGGATACCATTTTACTTGGGTCCACAATCAACACCCACATAAGCAGTAGTCAAGAAATCAAATGACATATTACATTGGGAAAATCTGCTGCAAAAGACCTCTTTAAAGTGTTAAGAAGCAGTCATCAAGTTGAGGACTAAGGTGAGCCTGACCCAAGCCATGATATTTTCAATTGCCTTGTATGCACGTGAAAGCTTTATAACGGATAAGGAAGACCAAAGAATTGATGCCTTTGAATTACGGTGTTGGCAAAAAATATTGACTATGCCATACATGTATGGGCTGCCAGAAGAATAAACAAATCTATCTTGGAAGAATTACCTCGGACATGTTGTCAGGAGGGACCAGTCCCTGGAGAAGGACACCACCCTTGGTAAAGCAAAGGGTCAGCAAAGAAGAGATACCGTTAATGAGACGGACTGACACACTGGCTCCAACAGTGAGCTTGAACATATAAACAATGTGAGGATGGCACAGGATCAGGCTGTGTTGTGTCATGTTGTACAAAGAGTCACTATGAGACGCAACTGACTTGACAGCAACCTAACAGTGACAAAAACATCATGGGAGATAGCCAAGGGGAGAAGAGGGTGGGCAGCAGATCATGAGTAGTCAATCATCAGTGTTTAGTATCCTCTGAGATCCTCTCCCTCATCAAAATGACTAATGAAGTAGGAATAGCTACTATTTCCTATACCACCCAATTTCCAAAAGAGCTAGTGATGTGCACTTGGACTTCTCCACTCTGTATATTTCAGGAGGAAAAGGAGAGTGGTAGTCTGGTTTGGAACTCATGGAATTTCTCATAGAGAAAATAATTCTCCAGCCCCAGGTAAGCAGACAGTAGGCTTCCTTCCTCAAGTCAAAAGAAGCCTTTTCATCTTACTGGATTTTATTTTTCTCATCAGTTTTGAGCCCTTCATAGCTGTAAATCCCTAAATATAGTGGACATCTACTGTTTTGTTTCTTCCCAGCATTTCTTCTCCCTTTCTTTTTCTTTAACAGCATCCTAGGTTTTGTTTGTTTTAAAATATCTACTCCTTCCCCAGTTTTACTCCATATGGTTTGGGTGGGGTTGTCTTTACCCCTTAGATCCATCAGTACGGATGTGGCCCAGGTCTGGTCAATCAATAGAATCTCCCTTCTCCTGGCCACACAATGACCAACTTGGAGATGAGCATGTGGTCCAAAGCAGGCCAATGAGATATTATCTTTGGTGCTTGTGCTATTTTTGCACTTTAAACCATTGAGAAAGAAAGTCCTATTTTTTCTGGTAGCTAATCTATGGGTCCCTCGGAAGGAAGGTTGGGCAATCCTACTTCCATAGTGACACTGCCTCGGAAACCCAAGGAAGGGTCGCTATGAGTCGGGGCCGACTCGACAGCACATAACAACAACAGCAACAACAATCTATGAGTCTATGGGTCTGGGGCTGTCAGTGGCCATTTTACCACTTGTTGGAGAGTGCCTACCTGAGAATAAAACTGACACAAAGCAAAGTAGAGCTGAGCGATGGACCGAGAGTGCAAGGAGTTCTCTTGTCATCACTTGAGCCCCAGCTTCCAGCTATGACTGAAATAAGAACTACACAAAATAGTTTTCAGTTATGTTAAAGAAAATCCCTCTTTTTCTTTTCATGATTATGATCCATTAAGTTGACTTTCTGTCATTTGCGACAGAAAGAGTTCCAACTAATCCAATATAGATGGTTATGTGTGAACTAAACTCAGGGGATATCCTGGACCTTGCTCTTTGGTAAAGGTTTGGTACTTTATGGACTTAACTGTGTCCTCTCAAAAGATATGTTGAAGTCCTAACCCTCCACCTATAAATATGACCTTCTTTGAGGAGATAGGGTTTTCTTTTGCAGCTGTTATCAGTGAAGTTAATGAGGCCATACCATAGTAGGATGGGTAATAATCCTAAACTTCTGAGTGGCATCTTATAAAAGAGTAAGGACAGACACAGAAAGAGGGTCACACACAGAGTGAAGACAGCATTTGAGGATGTCTACATGCTAAGGAATGCCAAGAAATGCCTGGGGTTACTCAAAACTGAGAGGCAAGGAAGGGTCTTTCCATAGAGAACAGAGAGAGACCACAGCCCTGTCAACACCCTGCTTTTCTACTTCCAGCCTCCAGATTTATGGGAAAATGAATTTCTGTGTTTAAAGCTATGCACTTTGTGATATTATGTTACATAACACTAATGCATGTGAGAGCTGGACAATGAATACGGAAGACTGAAGAAGAGTTGATCCTTTTGAGTTGTGGTCCTGGCAAAGAACACTGAAAGTACCATGCACTGCTAAAAGAACTACCAAATCTGTCCTGGAAGAAGTGCAGCCAGAATGCTCCTTGGAAGCGAGAATGGCCTGACCTACTTGTCTCACCTACTTTGGTCATGTTATTAGAAGGGACCATTTTCTGGAGAAGGTTGTCATGCTTGGTAAAGTGGAGGGTCAGTGAAAAAAGGGAAGGCCCTCAACAAGATGGATTGACACAGTGGCTACAGCGATGGGCTCAAGTATAGTAGGGATCATGAGGCTGGCACAGGACTGGGCACTGTTTTGTTCTGCCGTACATAAGGTTGTTATGAGTCAGAAATGACTAGATGGCACCTAACAACAACAATGCTAGGAAATTAAGATACATGCCATTATGTTTGACTCTGCCTTTGAAGGCTGGCAGTTCAAACCCACCAGCCACTCCTTGGAAGGAAGGCTGGGCAATCTACTACCATAGAGGTACCACCTCAGAAACTCAAGGAGGGATCACTATGAGTTGGAATCGACTCAATGGCGGTGAGTTTTTTTGTTTTTTGTTACTGGGCTGCTCCTTGATACTCGCACACTGACAATTCTGTCCCTCTAATGCCGCATCTTTTACTCAACTTTCCTCCATTTTTCTTTCTTCTTATTTTTGCTTTTTATATGCTTATTGTCTTTGAGCACAGTAGGGCTTACTTAGATTTTGTGGCACAGCAGACCCTCAAGGGAGCAGCTTTCTGCTTGAAAGCTTCTTGCCCCTCATCACACCTTGTTTTAAGTTTTGTATCACTGCTTCTTCTTGAGGCTTTTCATCAGTGTGTCCTGAACCCTTTGTGGTAAATCAGTGCCTACACATACACATACATATGACACTGACAATAGAGATACAATGAATAGAAACTGTTTTAATTTCTACTAAATAACACCTGCATTTGGTTGAGTTTTGCACTGACCCCGGTGGTAAGACACTAACAATTTACATGCAAGAACTCAAGAAATGATGATTTTGTGGCCTTCACTGCAAGGAAATGGATAATGCAGCTCTTGCTATGCTGCGTTCCATTGCCGAGTTCCATTCTTCACTGAGGCTCACTGAGTCCCATTACTGCCCTCATTTAGAGACTTACAGGCTCCCATTTCATTGCCTTCCCAATTTTGCTGGAGGAAATGCCTTGCACCTCCTTGCTTTCTCAACGGACAATGTTATATCAACTCCACCTAAGGGCACAAACTGCTACAATTGTCAGCAGTGATCTCTCTTTGTCAATATAATCATTTTTTAATCCGGTTTCATCCACATGATTCTGACGTCCACCAGTTCAAAGGTTAATAGGACCAGAAACTGATTGATACCATAATCCAACTGGTATGTTTAACAACCTTTTGAATGTTCACCATGTGCTGGACACTCTTTTAAGCACTTTAGACATATTGTCTCATTGACTCTTCATGTCAACTCTAGAAGGTAGTTGCAAATAGTACCCTCATTTTACAGATGACAAAACTGAGGTGAAGCCAGACTCTGTAACTGCTTAAGGTCACACAGGTGGGAATTGGAGTGGAGACATCTGAACACAGCCCTCATTTTTTTTTTAAACAACGTTGTTACCTTAGTTGACTGTGATCATGGAAAAAAAGTGAGATAATAGGTTTCAAAATGATTACTTGAGTAATGTTGTTGTTATTGTGTGCCGTCGAGTCGGACCAGACTCATAGCGACCCCCTCCTTGGGTTTCCGAGGCAGTATCACTACGGAAGTAGATTGCCCCATTTTCCTTCCGAGGAGTGACTGGTGGGTTTGAACCACCAACATTCTGGTTAGCAGTCAAGTGCCTTAGGCACTACGCTACCAGAGCTCCCACTTGAGTAATATTGATCTTATTATATTAAATATTTTGCTTATTAATTTTTACAGTCATGGATACATTCAGTAAGTTATAAAATCTAGTAAAAAATAAAATGTTTGTACAGCAGTTAACATCACATAATTTAAAGTGTGTTTCTATGTACTTCATACTTGCATATATCCAGAGTGATCCCAGAGGGTACAGTGATTTTCCTAGCTGCTTTGCAACCAGGTTGTTTAAAACAAAATACCAGGAGTCGACTCACCTGCTGGAGTGGTTTTCAGTCTCCTGGCCAGCACAGCTTTGGCTTGCCCTTCCACCCCCAGCGCCACGGCGATAATGTTGTGTGCCACGCGCGGGGCGTATCGCATTAGCAAGGCGGTTTTAAGATTCACAAAGGTTTTTCCTCCCACGATAACTCTGACGGATTCATGGGCATTTTTCTCAATCAGGTATCCGTACAGCCTGCATAGAGGAACCTTGCTCCGGATGCAGTCTTCGATGGTGAGCACCTCCTTCTCAGTGGTGTCGTCCAGGATGATGACCACGTGGGCCTGGTGGAAAGCATTTTCCACTTTCGTGCAAATGGTGATGCTTTGGAGGATTGGCGCTGCCAGGTCCTGGCTCTCCAACAGAACAGTTGTGAGGTGGTTTTCCTGCTTGTAGTCGAACAAAACTATGCTAATTTCCGTGTGCATCCCAAATACCTCACCGCTTGCCAATAAAGGAATCAGACTGTAGCTGGCAGCAGCCGATGCACTGATAAAAAAGCGAACCTGGGTAATGAGTACGATTAAATACCTTGCCCCCTTTAAGCCTTTATTCTTAATAGACAGTTTGCAAGTGCACTAATTGGTTGAATGTTTTAAACAAGCATACACTGCTGCCGAGTGATTGTGAAGGCGAGAAATAAAAGGTAGAGCAGACTAACCTGTCACTACCGACCCCTGGTTCTGGTCATCTGACGACAATCCCCAAATAGGAGATGCACCTGTCTACTCAGTATTTCAAATAAAACTGAATTTCCCAGAGGCAGAAAGCAAACTTCCAAAAAACGGTGCCATTTTACTCTATATATTGTCACACCTTCTTAAAAAGATGGAGAGAGAACAAGTTTCATTTAACTATAGATTTTTTTTTAAAAGTGCTTTAAAAAAAAAAAAAATCTACCCTTATCTTCAAAGTAATGACTTTTTTGGAAAAGGTTATCTTTTCCAAATCATTACCAGCACCACCCCCAAAAAATAATCCCTACAAAGATGCCTATTGATCAAACGTCCATGGACCAATGTGGGGTGTGTGTGATCGATCCATGTGTAACCACAGCTCAGCATGTATCTGGATGTTCTGTAACTGGGTTATCAACACGACTGTAGGACCCTCTGTGGGGAGCTTGGAAAGGCATCAGAGCATTTCTGGTTCTCACAATGAGGTTGGGCAGGGGTCCAGTGGGGGCTTCAGCATTATCTGTACTATTTTACCTCTTTTTTAAAAAATCTAAAGCTGATGTAATATTTATTAAGTCTGAGTGATAGCTTCATGGATGCTTAATACATCATTCTCAATGTTTTTCTGTATTTGGGATGTTTCATAATGCATTTTTTAAATGAGTATGTATATGATGATATACACATGTGTAATGAGAAAGGCAGTGAGAGACAGATTGGGAGTAAGGGGAAGCAAATGGAGGGAGGGGAAGAATAAGAGGGTTCTGAGGAAGAAAAGAGAAAGTGACAACTAATTGTGTCCAAGGCTGAAAGCAATGGGGAGAGAAATGAGATGGAGAAAAAGTGGGGCACCAGAGTGAGGGGAATTAGAGAGGGAAAGTGCCTAAGAGCCAAGGAGAGCTCTAGCAAGTGGGACGAGAGAGAGAGAGCAACACTCATTGAGGGGCAGAGCGGCGGGGCTGAGCAAAGAGCTAGGGTGAGAGCTGCAGACAGTATGACACAGAAGGAGAGGGTGGGTGCCGGAGACAATACGAGGCATCACCCACAGGAAAAGCAGGCTCCAGACACCAATCATCCATGCTATCAGTTTCTCTTTGGGTATATTGGATACACACACACACACACGCACACACAATTTTCAAGCCTGACTTTCATGTGCTCACTATCATGGAGTTAGAATAATCTCACTTCACTGTGGGATCCACTGAGGCTTCTGATCAATCCTACTTATTATAAAAAGCAATCTCATGAACCCAGAGGCTTGATCATCCCACCTGGCGATCCAGACCTGCAAGGGGCTGCTGAGGCCTTGGAGGGATTTTCCTTCAAGCTCTTTTTTCATATGTGTCCCCAGGTTTTCTTTAGCAACTATGTGCATCAGCTCACTCGTCATGCTAGAGGTGACACCATAGTAAAGCTACATATTGGGAAAGAAAAAGCTGATATGAGAAAATAGACACTAAGTTACTCACAGTGGCTATACTAGAAAGTTTTATTATTATTATTTATTTATTTAACAGTCAAAATAGAATAAAAAGAGAACTGGGAGAATACATTGAAAAGAGAGACATTTGGAAAATGAAATAATGTGGAAAAGTGATAATATTTTGAACAGATACAACAATTTATACATATATTACCTGGGCATGCTCCAGGAACTCGTTATAGCCTCCCAAAAGCATACCCTTTCCTCCACGATCCAACAGCTCTCTCCAGATGATGGGAGAATTTTTGTGAGTCCACTTGTTCTTTTCACACACATCTTTCAGCCACTCCTATTGAATGTTATTCCAAGGAAGCCACATTATTAAACCTGCCTCAACTTTAGAATTCAAACACCAAAATACAAGCTTGGTTTTTACTTTCACTATGTCTCCATAATAAAATTTAATTATCTTTAAAAAGCGAAATTTAAAAATAAAAATAGTGATGAACTAATCAAGTGAAAAAGAAGATTCTTTACATCTATTGGCCAAATCAAAGAACTGGAAGTTGCTCTCTTTTCTAAGGAGAGCTAGAGTACAAGTGTTTAGCTAAAAAGAGGCCAAGTGTTTCAGTTTGATTTCAAAACAACTTTTCCTTTGTTCTTGTATATGGAATTGTTCCAGTCATAAAATTTTTAATATTGCTTTTCAAATCCTTTGTTTAGTTTTATGTAGTCCACACTGAATAATGACCTAAAAGTCATCTCAGGCTTTCTGATAATATTTATTGGAAACAAGCTTAAATTATTATCTAGTTTGTACCGACATGGGATCCCACAAAATGTCACTTTGTACCAAGAGGCCCACTTGATAGAAATATAGGAGCCAGAGTGAGCACATAACCATGGGATCCACAGCCCCGATTCACATATTGCACCACCCAGAGGCTGTCAGCCTAACTGAGGACCTACACCATAAATAAATATGGTACTTTGTGCCAATAGATGGAATATATGTATCTATGAACCAAGGGATGGAATTGAGAATCACTTGGTTAACCATAACTCCCTGCAACCATTTGGGGGAATTTGAACTTTTAAACCCAGAATTCCAGACTCTGTGGGTCTAGAGGTACTAGTTTCCAGAGGCGGGGAACGTTTCTACCAAGGAACACTGGATGGTCCCCTTAAGCTACAAACTATGGCATCATCACCCAGCTACTTTGAGCTCCTGTGCAAGGAAGGCAGTCACCATCCCAGCAGGGGTGATTGGCCCTGATAATCAGAAGCATGTGGGGTGGCCATTATTCAAGGCTGACAAGTGAGAATACTTGGCATCTACGTGACCCACTGGATTTCTCTCACCCCATTTTGATGGTAAATGGACAAGTGCTGCAGTCACATGCTGGAAAGGGAATGGAGAGTAGGGCTCAGCCCTCTTAAAGATGCAGGTCTTGGTCACCACAAATAAGTCGCCAAGGCCAGCAGAAGCTAAGGGGAATCTAAAGGCATAGAAGAGAAGAAAGGTGATGAATGTCAGTGTAGCCCTAAAACTATCTGCAGTGGAGAGTGTAGTTCATTTGACTAACCTTCTTCTTGAAAATTTCCCCAAGAATGCCAATCAGAATCATAGAGGAGCTGTTCTTGGAAGATGTGAACTTATTCTGTGGAGTATGTGGATCCAAAAGGTCCAATGTGTAGACTACAGCAGGTGTTGTCTCCCATAGTCCAGATCCCCCTCACAACTGAGGCACTCATTCTCTCAGTCACGGGGTATACTGGCTGCTCATGGCTCTGTGCTGAGTCCTTTCCCATGAACTGACTTCAGCCAAAGGGATTCCCCTCACCCAAGGCTAAGTCCCTTCCCCAGAGGGAGCCTAAATCTATGCCTGGTTGATATAGCCCCATCCCCTTGCCTCAGTGTGATGCATCTCTGAAGACCCGTCCCAGCTCCAGAGCTCCCTGTGGGATCCATTCAGGCCTCTTGTCAACTTTTCCCTCTGCCTAATCCTGCTTCCCCATTCCTTCCCAGGATGTGTCCCCAAGAGCACTCCCCAGTGAAGTTCCTCCACTCAATCTCTGAGTCAGAGTCTGTTTCTGGGGAAACACAGTTCCAAGGAAGGGAATTGCAAATAAATAAATCCCTCATATCATCAGAAAGCAATATGAAGGAGAATGGAAAATTAATAAGTACAATGTAAGTTATTTGCATTCTTTTTTTTTTGGAAAAACAAAAACCTAGCTAAATTAATTCTCCTTACTGATTAAGGCTTTATTCTACTAGCTGTTAGGGAAATGTACACACACTGAGGAGTGGCTGGTGGGTTTGAACTGCCAGCCTTCTGGTTAGCAGTCAAATGCCTCAGGCATTATGCCACCAGAGCTCCTCATACACACATACACATATATAAGTAATGTTTTGAAACTGATAAATAGGAATGTAAGTTGTTAGTATTCTAATATCAATACTACATGAACATTCATTACTGGAAGGCAATCTGAAACATACTAGCTAATAATTCATTAAATTAGAACATAACCGTGTGTGTTTAACAAATTGTAAAGGTTTCTTACCTCCCAAACATCAGGATGTTGTGTAATTTTATGTATTTTAAAGTCAGGAAGATTCTTCTGTAAATAGTCTGCCAGAAGTTCCACTTTAGCATAATAGGGACAATCTGCTCTGCCTAGAAGAGTTCAAAGTAGCAACGCTTCCTTTCAGCACACAGATTACCATGAAGTTATCAGCTGCCCTATGCTCACAGAAACGATCATGCAGCCACATAGACTTTTCATTTTTATTGCATAGATAAAATAAATTTCATCGGTGGTCAGAATCATAGGTCATAAAATGTGGACAGGGGAAAAATAAAGAATACTTAGTAGACCTCACGTCCTCTAAGAGGCTGCCAACTACTACTAATTAACATGAATGACTAACTGTGAACAACTCCTTAGGAGCCACTAGAAGGTAAAGTTACAAGTAAAGAGTGGTGGTGAAATCACATTTGGATTTGCTGTGTGTGGTGGAAACTCAAGGAGGGGTTGCTGTGAGTCGGGTCCGACTCAATGTCACATAACAACAACAACAACAACATGTGTGGTGGAGAGCTTTGGGTGAGAGAGAAGCTGAGGGAGAGAGGAATCCAGGGTAACTTCTGTTTTCTGACATTGGTAGATGGTCTTGTTTTACCAATAGAAACCATGAGTGATAAGTTGAATTTCAGACAAGTGTAGTTGGAGGTGTCTGTAGTATATCTAAGTGAGTATGACCAGCAGGTAGCTGGATCTAGAGCACTGAAGTGCATGGCTATGTAAGGGCATAAGATACAGATTTTGCAGCTCTCAACAAACAGAAGTTAAAGCCACTACAGTGGATGAGATTGGACGTCTATAGAGTATGAGTGGCAGTGGCCAAGAGCAGAACCCTCTCTGCAGTCTGTTTCCTCAGTTACTTCCAGTTCTTCAACCTCATGGAAACCTTCAAACCATCAACCCTTCTCTCAACATCCCCTGTCCCTCAGTCCCCTCCCTGTTTAGTTCAAATCCATGGTTCATCACTTCTATCAACTCTCCTGATTTTCTGAGATTATCTTTCCCCAAGATAACCATCCTGGTAAAATTCCTCTATCCTGAATCCAATCATTGTACCTTTTTATGCCTGCTCAGGTGGTACAGTGCCTAAGGCCAGAAGGTTGGCAGTTCAAATCTTCCATCCACTCCATGGAAGGAAGATGAGGCAATCTACTCACATAAAGATTTACCACCTTGAAAATCCAATGAGGGTCTCTCTGAATCAGAATCACTCAATGACAGTGTTGTTTTTTTTTTTGTTTTGTTTTTTGTTTTTTAATGCTTGGGTCCCAGTTGCTAGGAACCACTGGAGAAATATGTTATGACCAAGTGGAGAGGCACCATTATAAACCTCAACTGGCCTTCAGCTCTGCCTCTGCATCTTTCCTCCTTTATTCCCCTGCAGTGGAAGAGGGGTCCTACTTCTTGTGTATGTCTAATACCACCACGTATGCTCTGAATCCCACCCTCTCATGCTTTCCCAGGAACCTTGCTCAATTGATTATCCTCCTCTAGAATCTATCTCCAGTGGCTCCTTCCCATCATATTTAAATATACTCGAGTTAGACTTAAGTATCTCTTGTCCTAAAACATCAAAAAGCCCTTCTTCTGTAGCTACTACCTTTCATCTTCCCCTTTCTAGTCAAAATTCATGAAAAAAATTCTCTACACTTGTCATTCTCAGTTCTTTACTTCCACTTATTTCTTATCCCACTGTAATCTGGCTTCTTGCAAAATTCTCTAGAAAGCCACCAAGGACCTCCTTGTCACTAAATCCAATGCATTTTAATATTTTTCTTTTTGACCGTTGGCAGTATTTGCCACTGTTTCCCCCTTACAACCTCTTGAAACATACTCCATGGTGAAGCATCCTATAGGTTTTCTTTCTACCTCTCTGGCCACTCCTTTTTATGTTTTGTACTTTCCCTATTCCTTTATCCATCCATTAAAAGGTTAGGCTCCACAAGGCATCTTATCTTCACACCTTACACATTCTTGCTGGTCAATCTCTTCTACTCCCTTGGTTTCAAGTAGCAATTTATATTTTCAGCTTAAACAACCTCTTTATGTAGATATTTACACCCTCCCATATTTTCCATCTCCTTCTAAATGTCTTAGGAATCTCTGGTAGTGCAAATGGTTAATGTGCTCAGCTGCTAACTGAAAAGTTGGATGTTTGAGTCCACTCAAAGGTGCTTCAAAGGAAAGGCCTAGACCTAATATACAGCACAAATAGACTGTCAAGCACAACCCAAAATGCACAAACAGCAGAAGATAAACTAGATGAATCAGTCTTTCTAAAAATTAAATTTTTATGTGCTTCCAAAGACTTCTCCAAAAGAGTCAAAAGAGAACCGACAGATTGGGAGAAAACATTTGGCAACGACATATGTGACAAGGGACTTACCTCTAGAATTTATAGAGAACCCCAATACCTCAACAACAAAGACAAATAATCCAATTAAAAAGTAGGCAAAAGAAATGAATAGACATTTCACCAAAGAAGATATTCAGGTGGCCAACAACCATATGAAGAAATGCTCATGATCATTAGCCATTAGAAAGATGCAAATCAAAACAACAAGGAGATACCATCTTGCCCCAGCCCTAATAGTAAAGTGCAACAAGGCAGAAAATAACAAATGCTGGCAAGGATATAGAGAGATTGGGACTCTCATACACTGCTAGTGGGACTGTAAAATGGTACAACCACTGTGGAAAGCAATATGGCGATTCCTTAAAAAGTTGGAATTAGAAAGACCATTTGACTCACTACTAGATATATATCCTAAAGAAGTAAGAGCCAGGACAAGAACAGATATATGCACACCCATGTTCATTGCAGCACTATTTACAATAGCCAAAAGATGAAAACAACCTAGAGGCCCATCAACAGAAGAAGGGATGACCAAACTATGGTACATACACACAATGGAATACTGAAGAATAATATACAATCTGCAAAACACCACATAACGTGGATAAAATTGGAGGATTATGCTGAGTGAAATAAGTCAATCATAGAAGGGTAAATATTGTATTAGTCAGTTATTCTAAAAAGTCAAGAAAAGGTTTATATATGGAAGGAAATTGTCTTTGTTGGTTACTGTGAGTGGGAGGGGAGGAAAGGGAACACTGTTAGATAGGTAGAGGCAAGTACTGATTTGGGCAAAGAGAAGGGCAATGTACCAAATGTGAGTGATCAACACAGCAGCACTGAGGAAGATGAAGACACAGAGAGGTGTATGGGAGGTACAGGCAACAAAGATGAACTCTTTTGCACATACAGTACTGCATTGTCAGTGAAGGCAAACATGGATATATAGGTGGATAGATGGGTGGACAGGCTGAACTATTAGGTATGTCTATGCAGGGGGGAGTATGCCCATAACCATGTATAGTGTTGGCAGACAATGTTTCTACAAGTGTATTGGTATGTTCTATAAGAATTCCCAGGTATATAGTAGAGCTGACGAGGGACAAGGTTGTAGTCACTTCTTGGCCACAGCCAGCTACCTAGAGGGAGTGAGTAGTTGGACCTGTGGGCTTGGGACCATAATTGCAGGGAACATCAAGCTCAATTGGCATAACATACTACACAAAACATTGTTCCACTTCCTACTTTGGCAAGTAGCAACTGGGATCTTAAAAGTTTACAAGCGGCCATCTATATGCAACGATGGTCTCTCTTCATCCAGAGCAAAGGAGAATGAAGAAAACCAAAGATGGATGGAAATAATTAGTCCAAGGGACTGGTACACCATGCAATCCTCAGCCTATACAACTATGAGACCAGAAGAACTAGATGGTGCCTAACTAACACTGTCAACCCCTTGGAGGGGGATCTATGTAGGAGATCCTGGAAAGAGTGGGAGAACAATGTGGAACAAAACTCAAAATCATTAAAAAAAAATAAAGGGACCAGTTTTGCTGGTCTGATAGAGCCTGGTGGAACCCCTAAGACTATGGCCTCTAGTTGCCTGGCCTGGAATTGAACCCATTCCTGTGGCTTCCAGCCAAACAAAAGACAGGCATAGGAGCTGAACATTTACATTAGGTAGATACACTCCTTGGAGAGATCAATTATGAGAGAACAGAAGGTCTGTGTATGCACAGGGAAACAGCTCAGGGCAGGAGTGCATGGAGGGAAGGACACAGGTAAGAGGTAACTGGGGAGAAATGGGAGGGGAGCTGTTGCATTGTGGGAAATTGCATTCAATGTCATGAGACAAAGTGTGTGTGGAAAGTGAATTTGCTCTGTAAACTTTCACCCAAATCACAATAAAAATTAAAAAAAAGAAAGGCCTAGAAATCTACATCCAAAAACTCAGCCATTGAAAACTCCATGGAACACAGTATTACTGTGACACACGTGGGTTGCCATGAATTGGAATTGAGTTGATGGTAATGAAAAACTGAACCCACCACCATTGAGTCGATTCTGACTCACAGCAAGCCTCACTGGGTTTCCAAGTCTGTAAAGTTTTATGGAAGTAGCTTGCCTCATCTTCTTCCTGCAGAGCAGCTGGTGGATTTGAACTGCAACCAAATGCCTTACCCTGCCTCATCAGAGATCCTTTGACTTGATGGTAAGTGGTTATAAATGTCTCATAGGCAGGTACTCAGCATGTCTGTGATGGACTTTACCAGCACTCTCCCACTAGATCTGTTCCTTCTTCTACATTCTCTATGTCCATGAATGACACCACTACCTACTCAATTATTCAAACAACTGCGGGATGACTTTAAACTCCTTCTTCCTTACTTGTCATCCTCCACCCAACTGGACATTTAGTCCAACTCTGTCTCCCTAATATCTCTTCAATTTCTCTACTTCTCTCCCTTCCCATTCTCCCTCACCCAAGGTCAGGCCACCGTTAGCTTCTTCTTGGACTATACCAACACTCCTCTTATGGATCTCTTTGAATCCAGCCTTTCTCTCCCAGGCTATAGCTATAACACTCTGATAAAAATGCAAATCTGGTTATATTTTCCCCTTTTAGAAGTCTTCTATGTACTTTGGATAAAGTCTAAACTATTGAACATCACTTATAAGAATCTACATTATTTAACTATAGTCTCACTTGTGACACTCTCTTCTTTTTATTTATTCCAGTCCTACTAAATTTATATAAATATCTTGCTTATTGTATACTCTGAATAATCACTAAACTACCTCTCTTGACTACAATCCTACTTCTTAAAATTGCTTTCATCCATCTCAACTTCTCTATCTCATCGTTCAGGTCTCTGCTTAAAAGTCACTTCCTCTGGATTGAACCCATTATATGACTAAATAAGGTCCTCTACCGGTTGGGCAATCCTACTTCCGTACTGATACTGCCTCGGAAACCCAAGGAGGGGTCGCTATGAGTCGGGGCCGACTCGACGGCAAATAACAACAACAACAACTGCTGTGCCTGGGAGCTCTGGTAGCGTAGTGCCTAAGGCACTTGACTGCTAACCACAAGGCTGGCGGTTCAAACCCACCAGCCACTCCTCAGAAGGAAGGTTGGGCAATCTACTTCCGTAGTGATATGCCTTGGCAACCCAAGGAGGGGTCGCTATGAGTCAGATCTGACTCAACGGCACATAACAACAACCACCACCACTGTGGCTTCTACTGCCATGCACACAACATTCTTTGCAAATTTGTTTACCACTGAATTTCCAGCGCAGTCAGTAAGTGCTCAATAAATATTCTTGTGGATGAATAAAGCAGCAAAACAGATAGAATTTCAGGCAATTAGGAGTTGTCAATTGTGCTCAATGCATTAAGTAAACTAAGTACGAAACAACTTCTGTAGAAGCCATTGATGGCTTTCTTTCTTTCTTTTTAATTTATTTTTTTTTAATATTATGATTTGGGTGAAAGTTTACAGAGTAAATTCACTTTTCATACACCAGCTCATAGACACTTTGTCTCATGACATTGACTACAGTTTCCCACAATGCAGCAGCTTGCCTCCCACTTCCTCCCTATAGTTAGCTCTTCCCTGTGTCCTTTCCTCCATGCACTCCTGCCCTGAGCTGTCTCCCTTTGCATACACAGCCTTTCTACTCTCCCATAATTGATCTCTCCAAGGAGTGTATCTACCTAATGTAAATGTTCAGCTCCTATGCCTGTCTTTTGTTTGGCTGGAAGCCACAGGAGTGGGTTCAATTCCAGCAGGCAACTAGAGGCCATAGTCCTAGTGGTTCCACCAGGCTCTATCAGACCAGCAAACCTGGTCTCTTTTTTTTTAATGAATTTGCGTTTTGTTCCACATTGTTCTCCCACTCTTTCCAGGATCTCCTACATAGATCCTCTTCCAAGTGGTTGACAGTGGTAGTCAGGTATCATCTAGTTCTGGTTTCACAGTCCTATAGGGGATTTCTTTCTTTGTGTAAACCTTGCCTTGACATTTTAGTTGTACCTACTTCCTTCCTTTCTCATCAAGTTTCTTAAACTTGACTGCAGTCAGTGTCAGGAAACAAAATGTATATGAACTGTTGAATGGAAAACCAATTTACTCTGCAAACTTTTACCCAAATCACAATTAAAAATATTTTTCAAAATTACTTGCTTACACACGTCTGAATCTTGTGAGACTGAAAGGTCCTTGAAAGTAGAGCTTATCACCCCATCGTTTTCCCCCAGTGCCCGGCTGTGCTTGGTACAAAGTCATCGCCCAATAAAAAAATATTGAATGCATAGGGTGGTCAGTATAGAAACCGGAGTGGTAGAATAACCAAAAAAGGAAACCCACTGCCGTCAAATCAGATCCGATTCATAGTGACCCCTCTTTGGGTTTCCGAGGCAGTATCTTTACGGAAGTAGATTGCCCAACCTTCCTTCCAGCAGTGGCTGGTGGGTTTGAACCGCCAGCCTTCACGTAAGCAGTCAAATGCCTTAGGCACTACGCCACCAGAAAGATGATAACGGCTGAGAAGTCATGAGAGGCTAGCTGCCGTCAGTATTTTGAGCGATCTGCGAGCAGAAGCTGGGATCTCTCACCTGCCAGCACGAATTTAGCCATGGTTTAGGAATCCCCTCGACCCCAGTGAGTTTGGTTTGGTTTTGGTAGCCTAGACCTAAAGTCAGGGGCTCCGGCGTCTCGGTTTCTAGGCAACCATACCAGGGGCGGGGCGCAAGCGCACTCCAAAGTGATTCTGCGGTCGGGAGCTTAGCGATAGTTAGGTGTGGAGCGTAAGTCTTGAAGGGGTTACTATAGGGCACATATACGTTCCCTTTATGAGCTTGATGGTTTACCCTTTCCCTAGCTCTGCATTCAAGAAAACTAGTCACTTTACTCATTAAACCCTCAACCATTTGAATAAATCATTCTCCGGCAGTCACTAATGAACACTTTTGACCTATGAAAGGATCCGTAAAATCTCGCGATACAGGTAGATCTCGAGGACCCTGTCATGGCTGCGCCTGTGTGTAGCCACGGGATTCTGATATAAGGTGAGTAGACGAAGGACGAGCGTATGTGGAACGTTGTCGGTTACCCCAGCTGCAGCCTCTTGCCTTGCAGAGAATGGTCTCAGAAGCCGCCAGACACTAAGTTTAGGGAGGTGGGTTAGTGCTGGCAGCTCAGCTCTTGTAGGATGAGGCTCCTGCACTGTTTTTTGGGGCCGATGAGTGTGGCTGATCTTTTCTTTCAAACGCAGGCCATATACAAACACCACATTCGTTTTCTGCTTCCTCTCCTGAGCCGTTCTGTTTGACCAAGTCCCTATATTTAGTACTGCGGATTCTGCGGTTCACAAATCCTCATTTTAAGAAGTACGCATATCGCCAAGATAGTGCTAAAAATTTCGCTCTCGCAGAGGAAGCTTTTTGAAACACTTTCACCAGGTATAAACTTGATTTTCTTGTTAAAGGTATTTCACACAAAGGCTACTTCCAAGGTAACGTTTACTTTAAAACGGTGTGTGGATGTGGTAAAAGGGGAGGAAGCCTATAATGGTAATTTTAATGCACATCTTTAACGGCTCAGTAGTTTCCTGTTTTAGTCTCTGGTAAATGCATCACTAAAGTTTTGCTTTAATTTTCTTACTCCTTTCATAACTCCCTTCCCCACAGGAAAACGACGGCTTGTGTTCTTTCACTGGTAGAAGTGAGGTTTGTTTCATTTTGGTGACTTTAAAGCCATTTGAAAGTGTTTCATTGGATAGCAAAATGAATAACAAAACAAGTGGCTTTTTATGGAACCTCAGACAATTCAGTACTTTAATTCCAACAAGCAGGAGAAGAATTGTGAAGCTAGTAGATCCTTTGGGATTTTGCAGACCAAAAATTGTTTATCCAAACTGGAACCCAAGAAAACTTTTCCCAAAGGACTTTGATGATAGAATGCAACCATCTGTTAGATATCTCTTTCAAAATGCCCTGATTTTTAAATCAAGAGATCATTGCTTTCAAACAGAGGACATAAGCTCTGTAACAGTTTCTACAGTTGACAGATTACTTTGCCCTAGAAGACTGTCCTCTGACTCAAAACACTCTTCTGTGTCTGTTAGTACATCTGATGATGGATTAAAGAAAAACTTTCCCCAGGAGGTCTCCAATGATGATGTTCTTATCAAGGACGCAAAACCATCCTCTGGAAAACTATTTCAGGAGTATAATTCCTTGAGTGATGTATTAGATGTGTTTTCAAAAGCACCTACGTTTCCTAGTAGTAACTATTTTGTAGCAATGTGGAAAATTGCCAAAAGGATGTCTGAAGACCAGAAATGCTTTGAAAAACAACTGATGTTTAGCCACCCTGCATTTAAGCAACTGTGTGAACAAATGATGAGAGAAGCCAAGATAATGCACTGTGACCATCTGCTGTTCAGCCTTCATGCTATGGTGAAACTTGGAATCCCTCAGAATACTCTGCTGGTACAGACTTTGCTGAGGGTGGTCCAGGTAAAGGCAAAAAGTTAAACTTCCTTTCAGTCTGTTTAGGGAGCCCTGGTGATGCAGTGATTAAGTGCTTAGCTGCATATGGAAAGGTTGGTGGTTCAAATCCACGAGCTGCTCCATGGGAGAAAGGTGACAGTCTGCTTCCGTAAAGATTACAGCCCAGGAAACCCTATGGGGCAGTTTCTACCCTGTCCTGTAGAGTTGCTATGAGTTAGAATTGACTCATAACAACAGTGAGTTTTGGTTTTTTTGATTAACTCTCTTTAGCATATATTGGCAGAATGAGGAGGGAAGAGAGGTTTAGTGTCTTTGAAAGAGACCATCAGTGGAACGGTAGTTTCTTTGTATATTTATTTCTGTATGTATAGTATATGATTCAGGAACCTTAAGTTAGCTAGGTTTTTCCTTCTTTTTATGGAAATGTATTTTTTATTTTTATTTATTTTCCTTCTCCAGGTTTGTGTAGTGGTGAATAGGTTAAAATCAGGAGAGATGCAAAATACACAGGGGAAGGATAGGTAGTTGAAGGAAGGAGAGAAGGTTAACTGTGTAATATTTGCTGGGTATCTAGGCCCTTGGGAGCTCTGGTGGCGTAGTGCCTGAGGCACTTGACTGCTAACCAGAAGGTTGGCTGTTCAGACTCACCAGCCAGTCCTCCAAAGGAAGATTGAGCAATCTACTTCCATAGTGAAACTGCCTCAGAAACCCAAGGAGGGGTTGCTATGAGTTGGATCCGACTCGACGGCACATAACAACAACAACAGGCCCTTATATAATCTTATTTAATCCTCTCAACAGCATTACAAGGTCGATGTTACCTTAATTTTGCAGACAAGGAAACTGAGACTTAGTGATGTTAAACAACTTGGCTAAGATCACATAGTAAGTGGCAGAGCTGAGATTCAGATTATCTGCCAATGTCTTTACTTTTTGTATACCGTTAGGTATATAGGAAATTGGTGAAGTGCTTCTATCAATGCTTCAGATTGTTCCTTGCTGGTATATAGAAATAGCTAATTTTTGTGTTTTGGTCTTTTCAACATAGTATTGCTTTTTAAAATGAGTATTATCACTTTCAAGGAGCTCTGGTGACATAGTGCCTAAGGCATTTGACTGCTAACTGGAAGGTTGGCGATTCAAACCCACCAGTTGCTGTGCAGAAGGAAGATGGGACAATCTACTTCCGTAAAGATTTACCACCTCGGAAACCCAGCAGGGGTCGCGATGAGTCAGAATTGATTCAATGGCAGTGAGTTTGGGTTTTGGTTATTATCACTTTCATCTTACTGATTAGGAAACTAATAAGGCTTAGAGAAATTAAATGAGTTGCCCACAAAGTCACTTACCTATTAGTGTCACTATCTGTAGGTGCTTGATAAATATTTCCTGAGTGAATGAACAGCTATGTGTAGTCCATAACTGATTGAAGCCCAGTAAGAGATGATGTCTGAGCAGAGTTCAAGGGTGACCAGCAGGTTGTAAGAGGATTGATAGCAAAGAGGGTGGTGTTTCAGGCAGAGCAGAAGTTTGGCAAGTTCAGGAAGGTGAGATTGGTTCAATGTGACTGAAGTGCAGAATGATGGAGTTGTATGTGTTGAGAGGTGGAGGCAGGGACAGTGTTGGTGTGATGCTCAGGGGAGAGGAGTGATGGGAGCAGTAGTAAGACATGAGGCTGGAAAAATAGGGACTGAGTCATAAGAGCCTCTTATGCCTGACTGAGGAGTTTGGATTTATCCTGTAGGCAATGAGGACCCCTTAAAATACTTTTAATCAAAGAATCAGTGTGCTAAGTTTGTATTTTGATCACTGAATGAATGGGAAATGGATTGGAGCAAGGGTGAAATTGGATGGAGGGAGACAGACACATTTAGTTTTAAATAAGGGGCCCATTTGATGTCCTTGAAATGGGCCCAGATGTGATGAAAACATGATCTCATTGAAATATCATTTAGGTTTTAAGAGTAGACAGCTCATACTGCTGAGTTCCGTGATCATAGTTAAATAATTTTTAAGACAAGAATTTCCTGAGGATGATCTGACATATACCAAAAAAGAAAATAACCAAACTCATTGTTGTTGAGTCGATTTGACTCATAGTGACCCCTCATTGGGTTTCTGAGGTGGTGTCTCTATGGAGCTAGATTGCCCAGTCTTCCTTCTGAGTGGCTGGTGTGTGTGAGCCGCCAGCCTTCTGGTTAGCAGTCAAGTGCCTTAGGCAGTACATCACCAGAGCTCCTAATCTGACATATGTTGTATCCAGATGTAGAATGCTTGGGTTTATAGCTGTGTAAGAGTTTTCATGCAGGAGGAGGATGTGGCAGTCGGCTTCTGTAAAGATTTACGCCTTGGAAACCCTATGGGACGGTTCTGTTTTCTCCTCTGTCGAGGGTCACTGTGAGTCAAAATCAACTCGACAGCAGCGTGTCTGGTTTGGTTTGGTGTCTTTGTTGTTGTTAGGTACTGTAGAGTCGGCCCTGACTCAGCTGCCTCACACACAACAGAATGAGACACTACCTGGTCCTGTGCCAACCTCACGGTCGTTGCTGGGTTTGGGCCCACTGTTGCAGCCCCTGTCAGTCCATCCCTTTAAGGGTCCTCCTCTTCTTTGCTGACTGCTTTACCGAGCACGATGTACTTCTCCAGGGACTGGTCCCTCCCTGTAGCTTATGCAAAGTACGTGAGACAACGCCTCACCATCCTCCTTTCTACGTCATTCTGGCTGTAGTTTTAGACAGATTGGTTCATTCTCTGGAAGTGTAGGACAGAGTAGGACTGCCCCATAGGGCTTCTAAGGCTGTAAATCTTTACAGAAACAGACTGCCTTATCTTTCTTCTGTGGAGTAGCTAGCGCTTTCAAACACTGACCTTTTTGTTAGCAGCTGAATGCTTAAACACTGCATCACCAGGGCTTCAGATTCAGGTAGCGGTAATAAAACATGGGAGCAGATCTAACTTGGAAGAGTCATAACTGAAGGTAGAGTTTAATACTCAGGAAAAGATATAGGGAAATTGTGGGGGCACAGCCATCGAAGAGTCTTTTTTAAACCAAATTCAGGGCCATAGAGTCGATTCTAACTCAGAGCGACACCATTGGGCATCTGAAGCTGTAAATCTTTACAGCAGTAGATTAATCCCATCTTCCTTGAGCAGGGTGGCCGGTGGGTTTGAACCAGTGACCTACTGGTTAGCAGCCCAGTGTCTTATCTAGTAGGCTCCTGGAGCTGCTTAAGAGACTTTAGAAAAGGCAAATACCCCTGAATATCTCAATATACTGCAATATACTCAATATTGCTGCATTTATTCTTATCTTCTTGATGACCTTGAGTTCTAAGAAGTAAAAATAATGTTTCCTAAAAGTTACTTCAGAAGCAGAGTGGTATAATCAATATCAAATAGGAATTTTCAGTGATAATAATGGTAAAACAGTGTTGATGCATATGAGGGTGGGGATCACCCAAATGTATGAGTTATTTGGAAAATTCAGTTAAGTGTTACATCTTATGTTCCAAAGATGCAGTTTATTGTGGATTGACTGAATTACTAGTTTTATTCTTAATCCTTTCATTGAAAGCATTGGTTCAGTGGTTTTGCTTGGCTGAGATAGTCTGCTGTGGGCTCACCTGTGATGTTTGTATTGCTGTTCCATTAGGAACGTATCAACGAGTGTGATGAGAAATGTCTTTCAGTTTTGTCAACTCTTTTAGAAGCAATGGAGCCATGCAAGAATGTGGACGTTCTTCGGGCAGGGTTGCGGTAAGAACTCTTGTTAGGCTTTTGTCAGGGGTTTTTCTCTGTTCCTCTTCTATTTAGAGTAAAGAACTTATATGAAGACTGAACTACTTTTTTTTTTTTTTTTCAGTTCCGGGGCTTTGTTGGTAGTATTACTATTCAACCTAATATTTTTTTAAACTTAAAAACCTGACTCTGGATTGTGCTGAGAATAATACTTGTTTTAGGGTCCATTGTTAAAAAGATGTAATGTTGAGATCTAAATTAATTAATCTTAAAATATATTACTGATGTGGCATGGGGGGAGAGTTGACATGTACATTCTATTCATCAAGGTTATTTGGGCACATGATTCTGGGTGGGCTTGAAAAGTAACTTGAGTTTTATAATTTATAAAGTTGATGCAACTGATCTAATGTCGTAGACCAGGGAAAATAATACTTAATTCTTTGTTATGGCCTATAATCACCTGAAACTATTTGTTCCTTAATAAAGACAATACTGTGGGAGGAAGTTGTGCTGGACTGGTTCTGGATCTCTAACTAACTGCTTACGCTCCCTTGGGCAGTCCCATCACTTTGTCTCTATGGGCTTCTTATTTCTTGCCTACAAGAAGTAGGACCTGACCAAATAAACTTTTAAGAGTTATCTTCTGGTTCTAAGATTCTAGAATTGGAATGTTTATTGTGTTTGATGCAGGATACTAGTTGATCAGCAAGTTTGGAAAATAGAACATGTCTTCACATTGCAAAGTATGATGAAGTGTATTGGAAAAGATGCACCAATTGCTCTTAAAAAGAAACTGGAGGTAAACATGTTCTGAATTTTCTCCAGTAGGAGAGATTTGACAAAGATTTTTTTTTTTATGACCTGTTAACATTTCCCTAAGTCAGTTTTTATGAGGACATTGCTATATGTTTAGGTTTAGTTTTACTAAAGTAAAATAATAGATTTATTTTTATCTTTGTATATAAATATACCTATGTATATATACTTGTTTGACTCATTTTGCTCAAGCTTTATTCTTTTTTTAAAAAAAATAAAAGTTTAGTTTGCCACAAATGATAAATTTAAGTTTGTTTTCCTTTAGATGAAAGCCTTGAGAGAATTAGACAGATTTTCAGTTTTGAATAGCCAGCACATGTTTGAGGTACTAGCTGCCATGAATCACCGTTCTCTTGTACTCTTGAATGAATGCAGCAAGATGGTTATAGGTAAGGGAATGTTTCTTTGATGATTTATGATATCTGACCTACTAGTGTGGACTGTATTTGTTTAAAAAATTTTGCTATGAAAATATCTGATGATTTGATTACAACTAAATTTTATTATTGCCTGTAGCTTTTTTACAAAATGTAATATGGTTTTTTTAAAGATAATATCCATGGATGTCCTTTTAAGATGCTACACAGTATATTGCAGTCCTGCAAAGACCTGCGATACCGTAATATAAATCTCTTCAAGGGAATAGCTGATTATGTGGCGACAACTTTTGACATCTGGAAGTTGAAAAAAGTGAGTGTGTTAACGGTTTAGAGTAAGCATCAGAGACGTTCATGAAGCATACTAATTCATTTAGCATTCTAAGTATTTTCCTTTTTGCTTTCTAGAAGATACCAAAAATATTCCAATACTAAATTAACTTTTTATAATTAGCTCATTATCATTTCTGTCTGAGGGTACTTGTTAATATACCATTTAATCTTCTGACCATCTTTTTATCTGAAAAAAAAATTACGTTGTGAAAAGTTTTTTTATTTCTTTTCCGAAAGGTTGTGTGGTATTTGGTTATATAGTTAACATTATTTCTGTATTTCTGCTTTTCTCTATTAGATTTAGAATAGTAAAAATATGACAATATGGGCAATATGACAGACTTATCTTTTTTTTAGTTTTTGAACATTTTGTGGTGGTTTGGGTGAACGTTTACAGAGCAAATTAGTTTTCCATTCAGTAATTTAGACACATTGTGCTTTGTGACGTTAGTTGTAATCCTCTCAAAGTAACAGCACTCTTGCCACTTCCTCCCAAGGTTCCCTGTTTCCATTCATCCTTCTGCCCTGGCCTTCCTGCCTTCTGAACTTTGTTTTTTTGGTAAATGCTGCCCTTTTTGGTCTCATGGGGTTGGTTGTTCTGAGAAGTTTGTTTTTCACAGGTGGTATTCACTTCATGGGCTCGTCTATTGGTTGGTGGAAAGGTGATCCCCAGGGTTGTGAGGGAGACATACTTTTTTTAAAGAACAGACTGTTATTACTTAATGATCATGTCTAGTTTCTACTCATGGAAAGTTTGCTTGTTTCCTCCAGAGTGAAAGCCTTTACATTCAGGTTTATGTTAGTAATACAAACATCCAGATGAAGCACTATTAAGTTTACCATGGAAATTAATTTTGGAAAAAGAAATATTTATAAGTGAGAGAGGGACCAAGAAGGAACTAGGAGGTGAACTGGAAAATTTATTTTTTTCATAACATTTTAGCTCCTTCTCATTTATAGAAATTAATATTGAATATGGAATTTTTGAATTATCTCTTACATATTGGAATCAGGAAGTATCTCGGTTTGGGGAGGGAGCAGTTCAAGATTGAGTCAGTCATTTTGAAAAACTTTGGAGAAGGTATATTTAAAGACAAATTCCTGAGTTCATAGTTCACTGGCCCTAACTGCTCATTTGGTTCCAAGCTACTCCTTTCTAATCTTTTCATTTTAATGACAACTGTGAACTTCTACTAGCTGCTCCTCAAACATATTCCTCAAAGGTGCTTTCATACCTCTGCCTTCTACCTGGGACATCTTTCCTCCCTCTCTGTAACAGTCAGGCTTCACTGAGAAACAGTGAAACAGTATAGGAAAAGTAGGTAGGAAAGGAGTTATTTTTAAATGAATTGGAATATGCATACCAATGTTTGCATATTCTTTGGTCCTTAGCTTATAATAAGAGATTGTTTATTAACTTAATAATAGATTCAAGAATTAATGGTAGATTTTATGAGGAAAAAATTAATTGAACTTTTTAAGGAATATTTTATTGACCAGGATAATTCTATTGCTATTTAAATTCTTTAAGATTAAAAAAAAATTATTATTAGAATGTTATAATTATTAAAGAGGCTTTCCCTCAATTCTCTTTTTAAGGTTCTCTTACTCCTGATTTTATTTGAAACCTTTGGCTTTCGACATACTGGTTTGCTGGACTTGTTTATGAAGAAAGTGGTAGATGAACCCAAATTCCTAGATGTGAAAAGCACAGTTGCTGTTCTCCATGTGTATTCTTCTCTCAATCACTTCAACAGATGCCACAACAAAGAGTAGGATTTGTTCTCTTGTACTTTTTCATTGCTGCATAACATATTTATAGTAAAGATTACAAATCATAAGCTCAATGAATTATCACCAGTAAGTATGTCCATGGCTATCTTACATGTCAAGAAATAAAACAGTATTCCTACTTACTTATGAAGGTAAAAATAATTTCTATTTTACTTTTGCTCATCCAGGTCTTGCTCTGGGTTTATGATATATTTGTTAATTCACTATAAGAGTTTTCATTTCAAATACTCCCAGATTACTCCTTCAGCCCCTGAGTTCATAGTTCACTGGCCCTAACTGCTCATTTTGTTCCAAGCTACTCCTTTCTAATCTTTTCATTTTAATGACAACTGTGAACTTCTACTAGCTGCCCTTCAAACATATTCCTCAAAGGTGTTTTCATACCTCTGCCTTCCACCTGGGACATCTTTCCTCCCTGTCTGTAACAGTCAGGCTTCACTGAGAAACAGAAACACATATTAAATGTCATTTGTTAGACTGCAGTTTAGCAACAGCTTGCTTAGGTTTGAATCCCAGCTCTGCCATTCATTAGCTCCTTGACTTTTGGCAGGTTTCTAATCATTCCTGTGCTTCAGTTTCTTCATCTGTTAAAATGAGGATAATGTTGTTGTTGTTATGTGCCATTGAGTCGGCCCCGACTCAAAGCGACCCCTTCTTGGGTTTCAGAGGCAGTTTCACTATGGAAGTAGATTGCCCAACCTTCCTTCTGAAGAGTGGCTGGTGGGTCTGAACCGCCAGCCTTCTGGTTAGAGGTCAAGTGCCTTAGGCACTAATAGTTATTCGTAATCACATTGGGTTGTTATAAGGATTAAATGAGTTAGCCTACGCTAAGTTCTTAGAACAACATTTGGCACACAGTAAACACTATGTAGTTGTTTGCAGTGTTGAACAGAGTGGAAAAAATTAGAATGTGGGTCACAGAGGTCTTGGAGGGACAGACCAGAGCAGCTCTGAGATTCTCAGTGATTTACAAACTTTCAAATGACTTGACTCCAACTGCTTTCTGTCCCTATGGTTTTGACTCAGCATTCAGATTTGAGAAAGAGTAACTGTGATTGGCTGAGCTCAGGGTCTTTTGAGGTAGTTAATCAAAAAAGTGGTGTTAGACTGAAAAGCAGCTGCTGACTTTTCTCTTCATTGAACTGATATTCCTTCTGTAAGACTTAGCTCATGTTGCGTTTTCTGTGCCTTTCCAAATGGTCTCCATCAGAGCCCATGGGTTTGTCACGACATATACAAACCTCCGATGGAACCTTGTTGGCATAATTAATTATTTGTCAACAAGTCTCCCTGCCAGTCGTCGGGAAAGTTCTCTAGGTTCAGACCCAGATTCCTGTTATCACCAGAACTTAGCACCAGGGCTGGCACAGGGTAGGCATTTCATAAAGGTTGAGAAATGTCCCCAAAGTAAGACCTTCCCTGTTCCTCTGGCTTGATTTTCTTGTGAGACTGGCTGCTATATATCTGCTGTACTTTCCAGACCAATGCTGTTAACCTGAGTAGTAAAGCTGTAGAAACAGCCTGATAGGTCTCATAGCAGTAGGGGAACACACACTAGGTGGTTAGGGAGTTTTCAGCTAACTCTGGGCAGCCCAAGACATACCTTAGTCCAATAAAATTGTAATATTTTAACAGTCCCTAGCCACATGAAGTTTGGGAAATTCAGTCAGACACAACAGTAGCTGAATCAGTGCAGAACGAGAACTGGTTTGTCCCTCCAAGACCTCTGTGACCCACATTCTAATTTTTTCTACTCTGTTCAATACTGCAAACAACTACATAGTGTTACTGTGTGCCAAACATTGTTTTAAGAACTTAGCGTAGGCTAACTCATTTAATCCTTATAACAACCCAATGTGAACTTTGTCCTTTTGTCTCCCTTCAGCTTTCATTTAATCCAGTGGTTCTCAACTGAGGTGCACTTGCTCCCCAGGGGGCCTGACTAGGGGTAGGTGATGTAGGTGCTACTGGCATCTAGTGGATAGAGCCGGGGATGCTGCTGAAGATCCTGCCATGCACAGGACAGCCCCTGTAGAAAGATTCAGGCCAAAATGTTAATGGTGTTGAGGTTGGGAAACTTTGATACGACCCTGAACCCCTCACCTTAACATTCCTTCTTTGAAGAAATGGAACAGTGAGAGTGTGACTGTAGATCAAGAATAATCAATGAGAATCTGCAAATGTGGAGTTCCCTGAATTTGGTACTCCAAGGTCTGTAGAAGAAGTTTGTGTTCCTCTAGCTTTTCTAGGAGCTCTCGTAGCATAGTGGCTAAAGCACTTGACTGCTAACCAGAAGGCTGGCGGTTCAAACCCACCAGCCACTCCTCGGAAGGAAGGTTGGACAATCCTACTTCCATAGTGATACTGCCTCGGAAACCCAAGGAGGGGTCGCTGTGAGTCGGGGCCGACTCGATGGCACATAATAACAACAACAACAAAGCTTTTCTAGACCAGCTAAGGAGGCAAATCTTGTACATCTAGAGGAAGGCATTAGGTGGCAAGTACCAAATGAGTGCTTTTTGGAGAAGGAGGCTGACTTTTTGGGCGGCATGGCAAGGTTTGGGAAGCAGAATAATTCAGGGCATCTGGAGGGAAGGTTGACTAGAAGAGATGAATAGGTAGGAAGGTGGTGGAAGGCCCATTTGTGTATCCACATGCTGTACGTTAATTGGATTTCCCTTTATGGCCTGTTGGGAGTCGGGGGAGTGTTAAATCCAGAGTGTATCTTCCTGGGTTTGAAATCCCAGGAAGAAAATATTCAGCATTTAACCTCTTGCTTCAGTCCTTTGATTTCTTCTCTACTTGACCTGTATTTCTCATCCTATGTATTACTCTCGGATTTCCATCTCTGGTCATCAGTATGCTTCTGAACCCAGACCTCAGTCTCTGGGTAGTGCATAGAGTCCTGTACATCCTACAAGTTCAATAATTCTAGAACTCAGCTCATTCTTATTATTTTTAATAGTGGTAAATACGTAGGTAACAAAGCATTGGCCATTTCAACCATCTTCACACGTACAGTTGACCAAAAACAAAAAAAAAAAAACAAACTCACTGCTGTCGAGTCAATCCTGACCCATAGCGACCCCTCCTTGGGTTTCAGAGGCAGTATCTCTATGGAAGTAGATTGCCCAATCTTCCTTCCGAGGAGTGGCTGATGAGTTTGAACCACCAGCCTTCTGGTTATCAGTCCCATGCTTAAGTGACACTAATCACATTCATCATGTTGTCCTCATTGACTCATCCTTTTTCACTAACGCTCCTCCTTTCTTCCCCATCTAACATTTACCAAACATTTACCAAATACCTGGATGCTTAGAACAAAAATGAATAAGATGCAGTGCTTCTTGCTATGAGATTTGGTGTAAGGGAGAAGGTAGACATGTACATTGGTAGTTAAATACAGCGTGGAAGCTGAAGCAGTAGGATTTTGTATAGGATATGGTAACAGGAGGGAGTGCACCTGACAAAGTGGAGAGTTGGAATGCTGCCTGGGGGAGACGATGCCTGAGCTGCTCTTAAAAGACGGACAGATAGGAGTTAGCTGGGAGAAGATAAGCAGGGAGGAACGTTCCAGGCAGGAGGGACTGTGTAAGCAAAGCGTGGAGAAAAGAAACAACAGGGCACGGCCAGGGGACAGCAAGCAACTTGGAGTTGCTGAAGCATTAGGGACAGCAGGAGGGGGGCAAGGGAACGAACACTGGGCGGGTGACCTCCACTCAGGATCCAAACTTCGTCACCTGCAGCCTTGCCCTTTCCAGCTGCTGACCCCAAAGGTGGTCATTGATTTAATAAAGGCTGTCTCTAGGCTCAGTTGCGTCTTTCCCATCCCCATGTGACTTGGCCAGTTCTACTTGGCCTACCACCACATCCTTTCCCCTACACACCCACCTGCCTTTGCCCATTGCACCTGCCAGTTATTCTCAGACATTCTCCTTTACCGTCTCACTGGCAGTAAGGATTTACTCAGAGCACATTTGCCTGCTGCGTGACAATCACTGCTTTGGTCCTCAGCCTCACTAGTTAAGTCACCATCGTTTGAATACCATGTACTTTTCAGGCTCCATTTCATTGCTCAGTTTCAGGTGGTTTTTCCCTTTTCTCATATTTTCCACCTACTGAAATTCTACTTGATCCCAAAAGCAGCTTTATCCACTTCCTATCCTCGGTGCTGTCAGTACTTTGTATGTGTTGTTGTTATTGTTGTTAGTTGCATTGAGCCACTTCTCTTTGGCGACGCCCATATGTGCAGAGTAGAACTGCACCATAGGATTTTCAAGGCTGTGACCTTGCAGGAGCAGATTACCAATCTTGTCTTCCAAGGCATTTCTCGGTAGGTTAAAACCGCCGCCTTTTGGGGAGTACTCAGATGCTTAACCATTTTTGCCACTAAATGACTCCATTTTACATGGACTTCATTTTTTTTCTCATATAATGATATATAGCATATGCCCTGGGAATCAGACTGACTTGGGGTCAAAGGGTATCTGTGCCATTTATTGGTGATAACAACACTCTGGGAAAGTGACTTCATCTAATTTAGAGCTTTCCTCTTTTCTCTGGTTTAACTAATTTTTCTACGAGCTCTGGATGGTATGACCAGACTTACAGTTTTTTTAACCCAGAGTATTGATAGCTAATGAATTTTAATTGGTTATACAAGTGTTCTAGGCCTTATGGACATGTTGTTATGTGCCATTGAGTCAGACCTGACTCATAGCAACGCTTGCTTGGGTTTCCGAGGCAGTATCACTACGGAAGTAGATTGCCCAACCTTCCTTCCGAGGAGTGGCTGGTGGGGTTGAACCACCAGCCTTCTGCTTAGCAGTCAAGTGCCTTGGGCACTATGCTACCGGAACTCCTCTTAGGGACGTACTCATGATAAAAATCTAAGGTAATAGTTACAAGAATGGGCTCTGGAGCTTGATGACTTGGGTTCAAGTGTTGTCTCTGCTACTTCCTGGCTGTGTGTCCTTGTAGAAGTTACTCAAGGCCTCTGAACCCACTTATTATCTTTATCCAGAGGATAATAATGCCTACTCCATAGAATTTTAATGGCAGTTAAATGAGTTAAAGCCTGTAAAGCATTTGCTCTGAGCAAGACATAACAGCAATAAACAGAAATCAAAGCCCATTGCTGTTGAGGTGATTCTAGTGCAAAGTGACTGTAGTATAGTAGAACTGCCCCATAGTTTCTAAAGTTGTGATCTTTATGGAAGAAGATTGCCACATCCTTCTCCCACAGAGCAGCTGGTGGATTCAAATTGCCAATCTTCCACTTAGCAGCCCAGTACTTAACCACTGTGCCACCAGGCTCCTACACATAAAGCAATAAAAAAAAAAAAAAAAAAAACCTCACTGCTGTGGAGTTGGATCCGAGTCATAGCGACCCCCTTTGGGTTTCTGAGGTGGTAAATCTTTATGGAAGTAGACTGCCCTGTCTGCCTTCATAGAGTGGTTGGTACGTTTGAACCGCCAACGTTTTGGTTAGCAGTCACATGCCTTAAGGTACTATGCTACCACATACAGCAATAGCCAATATTTATTGAGCATATACGCTTAAGCTACTTGTCCTGTGTGGATACTTACTTGCAAGCCTGACCTTTTTTCTTTAAATCTCCTTTCTTTGGACTCCTTGTAGCCATATGAGTCTAAGCTCTACCATGACTTTTTATCTTCAGTTCTATTTGAAAATGCTTTTCTCTATTCCCCTGAAGGTTCCTAGACATTATGGCTGCTGTTCTGACTGGCTACCTTTACCAGATCTCTTCTGAAAACCTGTTGAATGCTGTGTGCTCTTTATGCTTGATGAACTATTTTCCCCTAGCAGCTGTTAATCAGCTTCTCCAAAAAGACATCATTAGTGAGCTGCTGACATCAGGTAAGTAAAACCAAAATAAAGCACTACCATTAGCTACCTTGCAAATCTGAACGGGATCTTAGTCGGAGCAGCATTAGTTACAAAGTACAGAGCAAATGTTACGGAGGAAAGGACCAATAATGGTGATACAATCATCAATGCCTGAAGCTGCTTAATCTAAACCATCCTTTAACGACAGATCGTAGGAGCTCTGGTAGCCTAAGGCTCTTGACTTCTAACCAGAAGGCTGCTGGTTCAAACGCACCAGCCATTCCTTGGAAGGCAGGTTGGCACTCTAGTTCTGTAGTGATATTGCCTTGGAAACCCAAGGAGGGGTCGCTATGAGTTGGGTCTGATTCGATGGCACATAACAACAACAGATCGATCATACATATAGAAGAATAAGAAATGCATGATTATTCCTTTTATTTAGAGACAAAAGCTCAGTCTTTTAACAGTGTTCTTTATGCTTTAATGAGGGTTATTTGCATTTTCTAATCCTTTCGTGTTACATTTGGAAGCCACCGTAAGCCACATTTTGCAGCTGTAAACACTTGGTCTTGGCTTGGAATGAGGGCACAGCCTGTTAGATTACGAAACCAAATAGTTTAACTCGTTTAATGAATTTATTTACTCTTTGAACCAAATTAATTGTTGACTTTGTTTTTTAATAAGGGAAAGCTAATTCTAGGATAAAGTTTGATGGTCTGAGATTTATTTTAAAATTTTTAATTTTAATTAACAACAAAAAAAAATGTTTTGAAATTCCACAATTGTATCGTAAAGAAAACCAAAAGAGAAGACCACGCTCGGCATTTCTCAAGCTGAAGGAACTGAGGAAAAAATTTAGGCTTAGGATTGCAATATCAAAAGATTCCATGCCTAATATGTTGAACGATGCAGGAAACATCAAAAGAAGATGGATAGAATACAAAGTGTCACTGTACCAAAAAGAATTGATAGATGATCATCCATTTCAGGAGGTGACATATGATCAAGAACCAATGGTACTGAAGGAAGAAGTTGAAGCTGCACTGAAGGAACTGGCAAAAAAACAAGGCTCTGGGAATTGATGGAATACGTGTTGAGGTATTTCCACAAATGGATGTTGCACTGGAGACCCTCAATCAGCTATGCCAAGAGATTTGGAAGACAGCTACCTGGCCAACTGACTGGAAGAGATCCATATTTGTACCCCTTCCAAAGAAAAGTGATCCCACAGAATGTGAAAAATATCGCACAATATCATTGATATCACATGCAAGTTAAATCTTACTGAAGATAATTCAAAAGTGGCTGCAGCAGTATATTGACAGAGAACTTTCAGAAATGTAAGCTGGATTCAGAAGGGGATGTGGAGTGAGGGATATCATAGCTAAAGTCATATGGAGTTTGGCTGAAAGCAAAGAATACCAGAAACATGTTTGACTTGTGTTTTACTGACTATGCAAAGGCATTTGATTGTGTGGATCATAACAAATTGTGGATAACATAGAGAAGAATGGGAATTCCAGAACCCTTAATTGTACTCATGAGGAACCTGTACATAGACCAGGAGGCTGTCATTCGAACAGAACAAGGGGATACTGCATGGTTTAAAATCAGGAAGGGAATACGTCAGGGTTGTATCCTTTCACCATACTTATTCAATCTGTATGCTGAGCAAATAGTCTGAGAAGCTGGACTATATGAAGAAGAACATGGCGTTAGGATTGGGGGAAGGCTCATTAACAACCTGCGATACACTGACACAACTTTGCTTGCTGAAAGTGAGGATGTCTTGGAGCACTTATTGATGAAGATTGAAGAATGCAGTCTGCAGTATGGATTACATGTCAGTATAAAGAAAACAAAAATCCTTACAACTGGACCAGTGAGGAGCTTCACAATAGATGGAGAAAAGATTGAAGTTGTAAAGACTTCATATTGTTTTGTTCTACAGTCTACACCAGTGGAATCAACAGTCAAGACATCAAAAGATGTATTTCATTGGGCAAATCTGTGGCAAAAGACTTTTTTCAAATGCTGAAGAGCAAAGATATCTTCTTGAAGACTAAGATGCACCTGACCCAAGCCATAGTATTTTCAATCACCTCATATGCAGGTGAGAGCTGGACAATGGATAAGGAAGACTGAAGAGTGGATGCTTTTGAGTTGTGGTATTGGCGAAGAATACTGAAAGTACCGTGGACTGCTAAAAGAACTCGGAAATCTGTCCTGAAAGAGGAAGTGCAGCTGGAATGCTCCTTGGAAGCGAGAATGGCCAGACTTTGTCTCACCTACTTTGGTCATGTTGATAGAAGGGACTGTTTTCTGGAGAAGGATGTCATGCTTGATGAAGTGGAGGGTCAATGAAAGAAGGAAAGGCCCTCAAAAAGATGGATTGATATAGTGGCTGCAGTGATGGGCTCAGGTATAGTAGGGATTGTGAGGCTGGCACAGGACTGGGCAGTGTTTAGTTCTATTGTACATAAGGTTGCTATGAGTCAGAGATGACTCAGCGGCACATAACAACAGCAACAACATCGTAAAGAATCAACACCATGTGCTGATTTTCCAAGCAGGTCAGTGGGGGAAACAGCCTTTCACCAGGAGTCAGGAGCCCTGGTTTCTAGTCCTAACTTTGATTTTAACTGATCAGGAGACCTAACATTCCCAGGCATTTCTTCATCTACACTATGAGGGGTTCAGACTGAATCATCTCTAAAGATATTTTAAACCTTAAACAATTTATCAAGTGCAAGGCATTGATCTAAACACTGGGGACTGGGGAAACATAAAGAGATTCCTCCTGATTAGAAACAGATAACTGGAAGTATTAATACAATTGTATTAATACAGTTTTTTAAATATGAAAATGTTTATTCTTAAATAATTTTAAAAAATAATATGAATACATTTTGGGTTTTTCTTTCTAGGTAATGTAGAAAGGAATGTTTTCAAGCTTCGTCTTTTGGATACTTGTCTAGAACTTGATGATACTCCTTATCACAAGTCCACAGACATATCACTGCCACCAGTACCAGCAGCACCCGCACATCCACATGCAAAAGTTGAAGAGGTGCTAAGTAGCCTTCTGGGAGGTGAAGGATACTTCTCAAAAAATGTTCACTTGCCACATAATTATCATATCGGTATGAGACTTTCCTTGATTGTCCTTTATTTTATTTATTTATTTTTACCTGACAAAAGCTGAGAAGTTTACTTTGAGAGTTTACAGTAGTGGTGAAGAGCATTCACTTCAGAGCTGGACTGCCTGGGTTTGAATTCTCACTCTACTACTTCCTAACACTGTGACGTTAGGCGCTTACCAGCCTCAGTTTTCTTACGTGTAAAATGGCAGTAATAATAGTACCTACTTCATAAGGTTCTTGAGATGAATGAATGAGAGTGTATAGGTCTTGTCTTGTCAGGCACAGAAAGCTCTCAGTGTATTTTGACTGGTCCCATTGTTATTACTGGTATCACACATTTTGAAGTAGTATTATGCTATTACATGTTTTGAAACAAAAATCACTATGAGTAATGCTTGAAAAATTAATATCACTTCCTTTCTTTACCAGATTTTGAAATTAGAATGGATACTAACAGGAGTCAAGTGCTTCCATTTTCTGATGTGGATATGGTATCGTCTGCTGCTGATACTCAGAGGTTGCTTAAATATAATCATTTATGGGCTATCTGAAATTAAATCTTAATTTTAAAAGACTTTTATTAAATAGCAGTAATAATAGTAAGCCATTATGTTTGTATAGAGCATGTAGCACACTAGAAGAGTTCTCATCCATTCATCTACTCCTTAGGTGTAAATATGGGGTCTGTGGTTGAATATAATGGATAAGAGATGGGTCATTTAATGAGGTAGGCAATATTTTCTCTATTAGGTTTTGAAGCTAAACAATTCAATAAAGCAATGTTAACATAATTGAACTATCTTCAGGGTAAAATTTGACAGAATATACAATAGTGATCATAAACACTTGAGGCTTTTATAGAAATCGAATACCCAATAAATATTTTGCTCTACCACCAGCACCTTTCAAAATATTGAGAAACTTTAGCTAAAGTAATCTCTATTGCGTGTGGATCATGAGCTTTCTCATTGACTCACACACTATAAATAGAATATCTCTGAAGAAATGTGATGTTGCACCGTGAGATAATTGCCTCCTTTTTAAGTAGATGCAGAAGATCATATAATTCTTGTCTGTACTTCCTCTTCTGTCAGCCTTTGTGGAACAGTTCTGTTCTGCTCTGTGGGGCGTACAGATGTGAATCAGGCATGGAACCTGACCCAAAGGGATTTATATTTTCTATTGTACAATAGCCACCACTCATCTGTCAGTTTGTTATACTGTGGTGGCTTGCATTATTGCTGTGATACTGGAAGCTATGTCACTGGTATTTCAAATATCAGCAAGGGTTGGTGGAACTTCCAGACTAAGACTAGGAAGAAGGACCTGGCAATCTGCTTGTATAAACTATTGGCCAGTGAGAACCTTAAGAACAGCAGTGGAACATTGTCTGATACAGTGCTGAAAAATGAGCCCCTCAGGTCAGAAGTTACTCCAAACATGACTGGGGACAAGCTGCCATCTCACAGTAGCATCGACCTTAATGATGTGGATGCAGTAAAGTTTCAGGGACCTTCATTTGCTGATGTGGCACAAGTCGAAACAGCTGTGAAGATCCATTAATAATCAGGATGTGAAATGTATAAAATATGAATCTGGGGAAACTGGAAGTTACCAAAAATGAAGTAGAACACATAGAGGTCATATCCTAGGCATTAGTAAGCTGAAATGGACTGATGTGGGGTATTTTGAGTCATACAGATACAGTCTACTGGGCTGGGAATGACAAAGAGGATTGGTGTTGCATTCATCATCAAAAAGAATATTTTAAGTTGTTTCCTGAAGTACAGCAGTTGCCAGTGATAGGATAATATTCAGATGCCTACAAGGAAGACCATCGAGTATGACTTTTACTCAAATTTATGTACCAACCACTGATGCCAAAAATGAAGAAATTAAAGATTTTTACCAACTTCTGCAGTCTGGAATTGATCAAGTATGCAGCAGAGATGAATTGATAATTATCAGTGATTGGAATGTGAGAACTGGAAATAAAGGAGAAGCCTCAGTAGCTGGAAAATGTGGCCTTGGTGAAAGAAATGAAGCTGGAGATCACATGATAGAATTTTGCAAGACCAACAACTTATTCATTGGAAATAGCTTAAACGATGACTATAAATATAGATCTCACCAAGTAGAATATATAGAAATCAAATCTCCTATACCTGTGGAAAGAGACAATGGTGATGTTCAATATCATCAATCAGAACAAAGCCAGGGACCAACTGTGGAACGGACCATGAGTTACTCATTTGCAAGTTCAAGTTGAAGAAAAGTAAATAAGTCCCTGAGAGCCAAAGTACAACCTTGAGTTGTCCCACTTGAATTTAGAGACCATCTCAAGAATAGATTTGATGCATTCAGCACTAGTGACTAAAGACCAGACAGGATGTGGGATGACATCAGTAACATCATACATGAAGAAAGCAAAAGGTCATTTAAAAAGACCAGAAAGAAAGAAAAGATCAAAGTGAATATCAGAAAAGACTCTGAAACTTGAGTGTAGAGTGGCTAAAGTAAAAGGAAGAAATGAATTAAAAGAGCTGAACAGAAGATTTCAGAGTGGCTCAAGAAGACAGAGGAAAGTATTGTCATGAAACGTGCCAAGACCTGGAGTCAGAAAACCAAAATGGAAGAGCTCACTCAGCATTTTTCAAGCTGAAAGAACTGAAGGAAAAATTCAAGCCTTGAATTGCAGTATTGAAGGACTCTATGGGCAAATATCAAAAGAAGATGAATACTCATAGTCCTTATAGCAAAAAGAATTGGTTGACATTTAACCATTTCAGAAGGTAGCATATCATCAAAACTGATGGTACTGAAGGAAGAAGTCCAAGCTACACTGAAGACTTTGGCAAAAACAAGGCTCCAGAAATTGACAGAATACCAATTGAGATGTTTTAACAACAGATGCAACACTGGAAGCACTTACTCATCTATGTCAAAAAATTCAAAAGATAGCTACCTGGCCAACCAACTGGAACAAATTCATATTTATGTCCATTTCAAAGAAAGATGATCCAACAGAATGAGGAAATTATTGAATAGTATCATTAATATCACATGTAAGTAAAATTTTACTGAAGATAATTAAAAATAGTTACTGCTGTACATCCACATTCAAGCCAGATTCAGAAGAGAATGTGGAATGAATCATTTCATTACTGATATTAGATGGATCTTGGTTAAAAGTAGAGTATACCAGAAAGATATTTTGTTGACTATGCAAAGGCATTTGACTTTGTGGATAACATAATAACAAATTATAGATAACATTGAGAAGAACACTTAATTGTGTTTATGCAGAACCTGTACATATACCAAGAGACAATTGTTCAAACAGAACACGGTTTAAAATCAGGAAGAGTATGCATCAGGATTGTATCCTATCACTACATATTATCTGTATGCTGAACAAATAATCTGAGAAACTGGACTATATGAAAAGAATGCAGCATTAGGATTGGAGGAAGACTCATTAACAACCTGTGACACAACCTTGCTTACTGAAAGTGAAGAGAACTGGAAACACTGATGAAGCTCAAAGAATACAGCCTTCAGTGTAGAGTACACCTCAATATAAAGAAAGCAAAAATCCTCGCAACTGGACCAATAAGCAATGATAAAGAAAAGATTGAAGTTGTCAAGGATTTCAGTTTACTGGGATCTGTAGTAAATGCCTGTTATAGTCCATTTCATTTTTGACAAATTCCAATTTTCCTAAATTCATACTTCGTACATTCCATCTTCCGATTATTAATGGATGTTTGCAGCTGTTTCTCCTCAATTTGAATCATGTCACATCAGCAGATGGAGGTCTCGAAAGCTTTAGTTTATCCACACCAGTAAGGTTGGTTCTACTCTGATGATGCAGCTGTTTTCCAGTTGTGTTTTGAGAGGCTTCTGACCTAAGTGGCTCATCCTCCAGCACTGTATCAGACAGTGTTTCCAGGATATTCATATAGTTGGCTAGTAATGTAACAGACAGTGTTTCTCTGCTATTCATAAGGTTTTCCCTGGCCAATTCTTTTGAGAAGTGGATGGCTTCTTCCTTCTTCCTAGTCTGTCTTAGACTGCAAGCGGCTACAAAACCTGTGCACCATGTGCAATCCCGCTGGCGTTTGAAACAGCAGGGGCACAGCCTGAAGTCTCACAACAAGCCACAGTATGACAAACTGACAGACAAGTTTGTCTCCCTTAGCTGTTAGAAACCTCTCCACCCTCCCCTTACCTGGATCCCTGGTACTTGCTTCCTCTGTTCTGGTCCCCCTGGCTTTCTTTTCCCCTCCACTCTCCTGCTGCTTGGGGGGTGGGGCCTAGGTCCCTCCCCTTATCTGGATCCCTCTGCTGAAGCTTGCTCACTCTGTCCTGGTACCCCTGGCTTTCCTTTCCTTTCCCCTCTGCTCTCCTACCACCTGGAGGGTGGAGCCTGGGTCCCTCCCCTTTCCTAGATCCCTCTGCCAAAGCTTGCTTGCTCTGTCCCGGTCCCCCTGGCTTTGCTTTCCTTTCCCCTCCACTCACCTGCTGCTTGGGGGGTGGGGCCTGGGCCCCCCCTCACCTGGATCCCCCTGCCAAAGCTTGCTCACTCTGTCCTAGTCCCCCTGGCTTTCCTTTCCTTTCCCCTCCACTCACCTGCTGCTTGGGGGGTGGGGCCTGGGCCCCCCCTCACCTGGATCCCCCTGCCAAAGCTTGCTCACTCTGTCCTAGTCCCCCTGGCTTTCCTTTCCTTTCCCCTCCACTCTCCTGCTGCTTGGGGATGGGGTCTGAGTCCCTCCCCTTACCTGGATCCCTCTGCTGAAGCTTTCTCTGTCCTGGTCCCTCTGCCTTTCCTTTCCTTTTCCCTCCACTCTTCTACCACCTGGGTCCCTCCCCTTACCTGGATCCCTCTGCTGAAGCTTTCTCTGTCCTGGTCCCTCTGCCTTTCCTTTCCTTTTCCCTCCACTCTTCTACCACCTGGGTCCCTCCCCTTACCTGGATCCCTCTGCTGAAGCTTTCTCTGTCCTGGTCCCTCTGCCTTTCCTTTCCTTTTCCCTCCACTCTTCTACCACCTGGGTCCCTCCCCTTACCTGGATCCCTCTGCCGAAGCTTGCTCATAAAGATTGATATCCTAGGCATTAGTGAGCTGAAGTAGACTGGTATTGGCCATTTTGAATTAGACAGCCATATGATCTGCTATGCTGGGAATGACTATTTGAAGAGGAATGGCATGACATTTCATCATCACAAAGGATACAGTGCTGTCAGTGGTAGGATAATATCCATACGCCTACAAGGAAGACCGATTAATACGACTGTTAATCAAATTTATGCACTAATCACCAAAGCAAGAGATGAGGAAATTGTGGATTTTTTAATCAACTGCTGCAGTCTGAAATTGACCGAACGTGGAATCAAGATGTGTTAATTGTTACTGGTGACTGGAATGCAAAAGTTGGAAAAAGAATCACCGGTAGTTGGAAAAATTGGAGATCGCATGATAGAATTTTGCAAGACCAACCACTTATTCATTGCAAATAC